CATGAAGACCAGGGTAAATATTCCCTGCGTAGACAGATTGCCCAAGTCGCCACAGCCCTACAGTGAAACTGTGAAAAGTTAACCAAGCGGATGTGGCTCCATCCCTGTTAACACGACTAGGTTAATAGAGCCGAGTGGTAAATCTGCACAAAATGAGAATAGTATAACACCCATCTCCTTAGTAGGCCCTGAAACAAACAGGAAGGCCAAGGAGAAACGTTCACGACGTCGCAAGACGACAAAGACGACAAGAAGGCAGACGATTGCAAGGTCTGCGATTCTGTTGTCGAACAAGTAGACTCTGCCTTCGAATGCAACTTTTGCAGGCAATGGGTACATTGTAGATGCGACACCGAGGTACCAAAAGTATATTACGATTTTATGCGTAAGAACCCATGACCATGGTTCTGGTACATATGCCCAAGTTGCCGTCCTGATGCAGCCTCTTGTAGTTCCTTGAAAGCTTAAGATGGCGTAGAGGTATCAGGGAAAAACGTGAAACGTTCTACTCCCACCAACTCGGAAAACAGCACAATTGCACTTAAATCGGGGATACCAAAATCCACATCGGTTAAACTTGCAATTCCTGCCATAACTTCCCCAGACACAGAGGCTGAAGCACCAAGGGTATCTGTCGCTGGGAAAAGACCCTTATCGTCTGCCAGTATAGTGGCCACGGCACTGAGATACACAATAATATCCAGTCGCACCAGACGAAACAAAACGGTCTTAAAGGGGATGACAAATGTGCGAGGACCGAACCTAAATCCACGGTTAGTAGATCAACTGCGTTATCCTCTTTAATGTACCAGACTGTAGTAGTAGTCTGCTGGAAAACAGGGCCCTGTTTGATCAGGAACAGTGGTTTAACTTGTGTAACACACTGGGACTGGACATCCAACCAGTAAAACCATGCAGATTGTATAGGGGCGATACTGCTCCTCAAGGCAAACCATCCCCACTGAGGGCAACACTGGGCTCTACCGAGGATGTCGACAAAGTTTTACTGACTTCTCAAGTCCTTTCTATAGGGAGGGCCTGCAATATACGTGTTAGGCCAGACAGGCCATGGAAGGAAAGACAGATGGCGAGGGAGTCGCCAGAGCCTATTCCTTCTGCCTCCATGGTTGTTCACGGCATCCCCGAACTGGTAACTGGGAACGCTTGCGAGAAGCACTGTCACAATGTACAGCAATGGAGATGGTCGGCATCCCAGATGGCTCTGGGAAGTTCAGGGGCTGTCTCTATTTACAGACTGCCTCGACCCACTCACCTTATGTCAATTAACACGTTACGTCTGTTAGCTATCAAGTTCAACTCCCGAGACCACTTGACTACTGCTCTCCAGAGATGGTACGAGACCAAGGACAAGGTCAGCAGACACATTCGCTGCTGCGAGAGCCGGCCTCGTACCCAAAGGAGAGAACAAAGCGTTGTCAAAGAAAATCCCCAACCCTTAGTCACAATACAGTGGTGCAGCACGGACGATGATAACCAGTGTCATCCAAGTGCTCCGATTGAACTAGAAGAAAAAAAGCCAACAGGCCGGTTCCCGGGGAACCGGCCAACTAATTCATAGGATAACTCCTCAACTGACAGCCCACATCAAGTCAACCACTCCCCAATACTGGGACGTGGTGAGACTGACTACCAGTTGCCTGTACAGTAATGTGAGAGGGCTAAGAGGCAAAATAGCTGAACTACAATCACAGCTGAACTCCAAAATCATAATACTGACGGAAACCTGGCTAACCCCTACGGTGGCAGACAGCGAAGTCAGGATAATAATAATAATAACAGTATATTCTCATTTTGTACATGAGGGACGCCAGTTTACAGGCATCATCAATATGATAAATTACATATACGATTAGTAAACATATTTAATAATAGTAATTTAATAAAATACATTTTTTCCTACCTGTGTAGGACACATCAATTGTACAGGCATGGATAAGTATTACTTAAATTACATAAATTTGGTTCATGGTAAAATTATAAGGTTGCAGTCATTTTGTCTATGGGAACAATATGATAACTAGTCATTCAATGGAGCACATCAAGAAATATAGAAATACTGTCTTCGCATTAACAAAAAAACCCAAGTATGTTTTGGATGGATTACAAATACTTGGGAAAAAATAAAGCTTGAAGTAATTCTTCCATATAACTTTGGTGTGTACGGCATCGAGTCTTATTCTTGATTTATATCCAAATTTGATAAAAATTTAAAATAAGTAATACACTTGTATACTTTTGTCAGCATTTTCTTCGTAACATGACAAGTGAATAGTACTCAATGTAGACTAATAATAATGGTAGTTTATATTTTCTTATAAACGGGTGTTTTCAAGAAATGCAAGCTATTTTTGCAGACAAGATCAGTTATGTTATAAGTTACAATCGTGAAGTATTATAAATGAATACTTTTTTATTAGTATAAAGGTATATTTCACAACTGTAATCCAGGGTTCGTCGTTGGTGAAGGCAATGTGCAATTCACGAGGGAATTGTGAGATATAGGGCCAATAATGTTTGCAGATCATTTGTCATTGTAAATGGGCAAATATCTTCATTCTCATTCAAAAAGTCAAATGGAAGCTGAAATGGTGAGAGACAAAAGAAGACAAACAACAACAACGCAAAAGCAAGCAAGTGGAGTACTTAGGGAGTGATTAATATTTATATACACATTTATATACTGTTTAGTAATTATAGTTATTTTGGTGCACTAACTAACTATCCCCGTGATGCTAACTTTTATATTGTGTGAACTAACATTATTGTCCTGTGTAAAAATGTCTATCATGTACTTCCAATAATATAAAAATTTATAATTGTAGTTTGTTGTAACTACACGTTTGATGAACTTAAAATATATATGTTGGGCGAAAAAGTGGGTGTAGGATTCAGATGCAGAAGTACACTGTCATCTTTGAGCAGTCTGGTGACTGAGGAGATGAACACTGCCAGTGTGTTTGCATCGCGCACATCAGCTGGTAGTCTATTCCAAATGACTGAAAACTTATTTAAGAAGAAATTATACCGCATGTAAGTCTGACAATGCTCTGTAGCAACTAGGTTGTGATGATTTCTAAGATTGTAACTGATGACAGCGGTAGGTTTAATTATTGGCTCGGAGGAGTGCACGAGCAGATTAGTTAGCTTGCAGTAAAAAATCAGGTTTAGCTTAAGAAGTCTTTTCCAGAGTGGTTCTAAACTTAGTCTGTCGCAACGTTCATAGTATTGGAGACCACTTTCTAAACCAAGAATTCTTAAGGTGAATTGCCGTTGCACTCCTTCTAACTTAAGCTTGTCAATTTGTCTGAGTCCGCTAAGAATAAACGGGCAGTATTCTAAAATAGGTCGGACACATACTTTATATAATAAAACCCTAGCTTCACAACAAAAGAAATTGCGAGTTATGCATCCTAGGAGCCTTCGTGTTTTACGTCTGGCATAATCAGTTTGTTCAGAGAACGTTAGGTTACTAGAGTATCTGATACCGAGATCTACGACTGAGTTGAGCTTGGCTAGTTTACGCCCATTTATTTCAAGATTCAGGTCAAGGTTACTGTTTCCGATACAAATCCAGCCGCATTTATCAATGTTGAACTTTAGACAGGATTCAGTACACCATGTTGCGAGACTACTTAGTTCAAGATGTATTTTATTTACCATATCGCTTAGTTCATGAGCGTAGCAGGAGTAAACGACTTTGAGGTCGTATTGGTTACCAAAGGTAGTAGTGACCACGCGGTCATAGTATTCGACATAGCCCTCCGCGAGCGCTTACAGTGGGACAATACACAGCCCCATCTGTGTTATAACAAAGCCAATTAAACCAAAATGCGAAGACTTTTGTCTCAAGCAAATAGGCCTAAAAAATGGACAGAGCTAACAGTAGAAGAACAGTGGGGAGTGGTAAAGGAGATCATTCACCATGCGGTCTCAAACACTGTTCCTTTAGTCACACCAAAAGTTAGGAAGCAACGTTCATGGCTAAAAAGGAGGACACAACGCCTTCTGCAGGCGAAGCGAAAAGCCTGCTTTGCGTGGCGAGTATCGAAGAGTCAACCCGAACATGAAGTGTACCTTGAACTCAGGAATCGATGTAACATACGAGTCCGGATTGATAGAAGGACATTTCAGAGAAACCTCGCCAATAAGCTTCTCGTGAACCCCAAAAGCCTATACAGGTTTATGTCTGAAAGAAAACCGACCAACCAGGGAGCTTGCAATCTAGTGGGTTCTGATGGGAAATCTCTTACTAGTCTTGAAATGGCAGAGACATTCAGTCTAGCCTTTCACAGGCAACTGAACAGTAACGAGGATTTTACCTCCACAAAACATCAAGATTACAATGCAAAACCAACGTGCGAAAACCTGCTGGGTACATTTCAAATTACCCCGGCTATGGTACTCGTAAAATTGGGAAAGTTGGCTTCGGGAAAGTCTGCAGGTTGCGATGACATAAGACCATCCGTCCTGAAGCAGTGTTCAGAAAGTCTCTGCCAACCCCTAAGTGATCTGTTTCAACACTCCTTTGATGTTGGGAAACTTCCATGTGAATGGAAACGAGCCATCCTATCCCCTATCTTCAAGAGTGGTGACCGGCGGAATGCGACCAGTTACAGACCAGTTGCGCTACTTCCAGTGATATCGAAGATAGTGGAAAGTCTCATTGACGACCACATGAGAAAATACTTCGACGGGACTAACCTACTCCATGAAGCACAGTATGGTTTCAGGAGGGGAAGATCCTGTGTGACGAATCTTCTACTAGCTTGGAACGATTCGACACTATCCTGGGACGTAAGGGTACCAGTCCATGTGATCTTTCTCGACTTTGCAAAAGCATTCGACACAGTTCACCATGGTCTGTGGAGTCCTCAAAAATAAACTTATCCAAATTTTACTATTATGTAGAAAATGAACATATTGTACACTACTTTGTTTTAACCAAAAACTCTGTACTTTGAACTTCCCTCGAGTTTTAAAATAAATATATAATTCTGCCTTCGACTCTCCGTCTTCTCCACCATCTCAACTGCCGTCGATCAATTATAACAACCTGCTTTCTATCTCGAATTTTTGCAGGATCACCGTAGCCTCCTCCTACGCACTTTGGTCGACCTCCGGCAACGTCAACACTGGAGAATTAGAACTGGAGCAGTCTTCCCGCAGCACTTCTGGAATCCATTACGTTTATTGTGGAATTTGGATCTTTGTAAACCCAAGTAACAAAACTTTAATATATTCTTCCCGTAAACTCAATTGATCTGGTATTTTGTTTTTCTATTTGAATTTGGGTTAATAAGCTAACAGAGCAAAAGGTCCACCACAAAAATTGGTGAGCCCGCTTCGAACATTTTTTTTGAACATTTTTGCGATAGTCAACTCATTTTGTACATTTTTGTTGCTATTTTGACCTTATAATCTCGCATTGCTTAATTTTTGTTACCATACGTTTTGCTGTTTTGTATATCTCTATACTTAAATATTTTTGACAATGGCTCCTTCTAAACGTTCCACTGTTGCTGAAGAAGGTAATAAAGGCGAAGAGACACAGAACTCTTCTAATAACGCCTTACCGGACTTAAGACTACCTCAATTTGATCTGAAGGACACATCAATATTTTGGTTACTTTCCCAGTTAACATCTCAAATGCAAGACTTACGACTGGAAGTATCTGAGCTCCGAGCACAGCGGAACCAGTCACAGACAGTATCCAAGCAACGGCGACCAAGATCCAGACGACGTTCTAGAACACCGTCTCAAAGCCGTAACATTTGCTGGTATCATAGGAGGTATGGGCATAATGCCCTGAAGTGTGTCCGACCGTGCATGTACAATAGTGGTGACGCAACTCAGGGAAACTCCCTAGCCAGGCAGTAATGGCGACGGCTGTTACTGGCAATCATCCCAGTCGCCTTTTCTACGTGAGGGACTTGACTACCGGCACATTATTCCTGGTAGATACAGGCGCCGAGGTCAGTGTTATTCCCCCCTCACTATCCAGGCGATCAGCCAAAATACCTGGTAAACTTTCACTCCGCGCTGCCAATCAAACCAACATACAGACGTATGGTGAACAGTCAATGATTCTAAACCTAGGATTACGCCGACGTTTCACATGGATCTTCATAGTAGCTGACGTACGTCACGCTATACTTGGTGCAGACTTCCTAAGTCACTTCAATCTGTTAGTTGACATCAGCAAGAAAAAACTGATTGACAATTGCACCCAACTCAAGATCCACGGTATTACAGGTGACTACTCTGTTCATAGCATCTGTATAGAAAAGCCGGAGAGTGAAATGTTCTCTACCTTATTGCAACGATTTCCGAAAATCCTTAAACCGTCATACAACGTCGAAGATATATCTCATACAGTTACGCATAAAATCATCACAACAGGACAACCTGTGAAGGCACGTCCACGACGGTTACCACCAGATAAACTAGCAGCAGCTAAGTCGGAATTCGAACATATGATGCAGCTGGGCATCATACGCTGACGACGTAAAGATTTGGAGAGCAATAAACTCATAGGAAGACTCCGACAGATTGCAGACTGACCTGCAAACTCTGGGAGACTGGGCTCTGGCTAACGGAATGCCTTTCAACCTAAAGAAGTGCAAAGTAGTGCAACTTCATTCCGGTAGGTCACAGAGTGTAAATTACACCCTTGGTGGCCAGAACTTGAGTTGTGTGCTATCAGAACGCGACCTAGGTCTTATTTTAACAGAAAAGCTAGACACCAGTGTAAATTACACGACGGACGTCGCCAAAGCCTACGCTACTTTACACTTTATGCATAGGCAGATGGGAGCTCTTACTCCCGAACTATTCTTAAGGTTGTATACGACATACGTGAGGCCACTCCTTGAGGTGCATAATATCATTGCTCCTCCGCTACTCAAAAGGGATGCTAACATTCTAGAAAGTGTCCAGAGACGAGCGACAAAATGGGTGATCGGCCTCCGCAAAAAATCATATGAGGGAAGACTGAAGAAATTAAGTCTTTTCACACTTAGTTACCGTAGTCACAGGGGAAACCTCATCACTGTCTATAAGATCTTAAATGACCAGGCCCACCCTAATAAAAGCATCCTGCCATTAAGTGATCATAGGCTTTCACGAGGTAACCCCCTAAGGATAACACACCAGAGACCAAAGACTCGAGTGCGTTCACATTTCTTTTCGCTTCGAGTTTGCCGTCTCTGGAACGCTTTACCGGCGGCCGTAACTACAGCGCCATTTGTGGAGACTTTTAAGCGGAAGCTGGACAATCATGCAGAAATGCATGGTTTGTGTCTCAATGCCTTATCCTCTTAAAATTTGAAACCACATTGTCAATGGATAAGCATACAAGCTAAATCCCCACGACCCGTTCTGTCTTCTCTCACTGTACCGACTACTCTATCTTTTTCTTCGGTCACCTTTATTATTTGACTGATCTCAACGTATATTATCTACACTACAACCTATTATTATTATTATTATTACTATTCTGCTTTTATGACTTCACCGAATGACCAACGGGTGTTAAGTCAAACTCCATTCACGGCAGCAACTGAGTCCTAACGTGCTGCACACTACAAACCACATCTTGAACAATCCTCGCATCACTCCTCTTGCAGTCTACCAGAGCTAAAGCAGTCGAGTGGCGGAACTTACTACGCATAAGTTCACCGAAGATCTGGAACCTCTACCTTACAATCAAGAAGCGAGCTCAAAGAAATCACTGGTTTATACTAGCTCGTAATCAGGATATTGGATATTAGAGTTGCACTGAGTTCTTAGTGCAACTTTATGTAACTGCATTTACATAAAGTGAAATATTACGAATGCTCCTGTTTTTAGAATAAAAAAACATGATTCTTTTCATTAAATTTAGTAATGAAGAATGGAATTTCTTCCACGTCAGTGTTATTTAATTAAATTTGTAATCTGTGTAGGCTCTGAAAGGAATAAATTCGGCATGGAGAACTCCTATGTAAACCAAAAGTACTTTTAGTTTACTAAATCTTACTGACTTCCTGTACAAATTTGATATTTGTCAAGTGTTTATTTAAAATCTGCTGGAGTATTCAGTAAAGTAAAAGTTATAGTCATTGGTATTGCTAGGAAACCACTTACTCGTTTTACGCAGCCGAAATACACAAATATCCCTTTATTGAGGAAACACTATAATGCCTGCAAAAGTAGTGCGTCAGTTTATGAGTTTCATAAAGTCTACAGAATGTTTTCTATTCAGTGATTACTGTTTGCGAATTATCCGAGAAAACACATTTCCGAGTGGGATGTAACACAAGGCTGAATTCTTAAACTGTCATCCTTATATCAGTTCAATTCAATCACACATATATTAGTAGAATAGTCTATAATTGACTTTAGAGACTTATTAGGGCATAGCCTCATCAACTTACAGTTTGATGATGATATTGTCCACCTAGACTATGAGAAGTAACCCCTGATGCTGGAAAATATGAAAAGAATACCGTTGTTTGATTATAGGTGTCTGTGTTCTATCTCATGAGTAAAGCAGTATAATATGGTGAGTGATGTTGAGGTTACGTATAAAGTGTTAGGTGAGGAAGGTAAGTTAGTCTTCAAGGTAGGGAAGCTGAATAGGTTAAGATGGCTAGAACACGTGATGGCATACGAAGCCATCGCCTTCCTCGAGGGATAATGTTAGCCAGCACATGTTAAGGTTCCAAATGTGTTTGGGTCGGTCAAATGAAAAGCTGGTATTGGCTCATGAAGTCGTTGACAGTCAGCTAGAGGAACTACTAGATATATGTCTGAAAGTCTTTGTCGATGGCACAGATGCATTCACTCTGTGTAATCTCACGTATCTATTCAACTTATGTTTTTCCTTGTCACGTTTAACTAATTTACTGATTTTCCTTTCTGTATAGTCTTCAATAAGTTATGCTAATATAAGTATTTCTAGAAACAATTATATTAGCAACAACACCTTTTGATTTTTTACATATGTGTATACAGTTAATAATACAATGCTATCTTTTGTGTCTAAATGACGTTACTCAGCCAATAACCACCTTTTCTCATATACTTTTCTAAAACGTATAATTTTATAATATTTCGTAGTATTTTTAACATTATATAAGTTGAAGGGTTACTTTGCAATGTCTAATGCGTATGAAAATCGGTCGCGAAAATTTAGCATAACTAGCTCTGTTAACCGGCTGTTTTCTTCAGGATCATTATAAATAATGTTACCACTAATTGTTCCACTACACATTTTACTCTGCTAAATAGACTACAACTTTGTTGCTATAATACTAGCTACTTCTTTACTTTATACTTCTTAAAGTAAACGCAATTTCCTAGGCGTTTGTTACAAATACTTGTATACATGTATGCATGTATAAAGGTGATACTGCTAAGAATGTCGTGAGGTGTGGATGTATCTGGTGACCTAATGGGAAGCGCTTGTCATGAAAGCTATTAATGTGCAGCATACTGTATGATTGGGACGGGCTTAAAGCAATGCAATACTGCAACTACAGTTGTTGCGAAAAAAATCTCAGAGCTTAACATCAAAAAGGAGGGAGGGTGGCGCATGCTGATCAGATGGTATGGAAGTGGTCACAATTGTGAATGTCTCCATGCATATTTTGACAGCTCGAGAATTAAACATTAGTCTGAACCCTCAGCAAAAACAAATGATAAGGGTTGTACAGATCTAAATTATAAAAAAAGTGCTTTGGCTCCTACTATCTACAAGCCTGTTCAGCTTCTTGTCAAGATGCTAACCGTTGGGCCCTGCAGAAATTCGTGAGGCATCTTACAGGTCAGCTTGTTCTACAGCTTCTAATTTTCCAGATCTTTGAATTCACCCCTCACTTAAATATCACTTACCTACCTCACAATAATCTTTTTATTTACGCACTATTATACTCTATCTGATCTTAACTACCTAGACCTTTATTGAAGCTGAAACTTGCTCTTCATTCATATTTGTTGCTTGCTTTAAGTCTGGTTGCTTTGATTAAAAACACAACAACACCAATGTCTGAACAAAGCTGTATCTTCATCGAAAACGTGATAGTTTCCATGCTTAGACCAATATGGTTAGCATTAAACATTGCAAATGTAAACTATCATTTCAAGTACTGTCGCTTCTTCTTCTTCTTGTTGTTGTATTTATCTTGTAAATATACTTCCAATAATGTATTATTCATAACCGCATTTTATACCTTTTTGCAGCTTCGCAGAATTTCCTCCCCTTCCTGAAATACCGTTCAATCACGTGGCGACATAGCACTCACCCAGATATACGCTGTTCACTGGTTGACCATAACGATCAGCAGGAAACAGAACGAAGTCTGGGTTGTTGCTCAACTTTGATGGTTATCTTAGCAAACGGCTTACAATTTAACATTTATAAGACCCTGTTCTGATTGCTTGTACAATAACTGGACAATTTAAGCTTTTGAAAAAGTGCTTGGGATATTCTTTCTTGTCAATACAGCTCCTCAGAAAACGGATTCTTGTATTCGCTATGGCAAGTTTGACAGAAAACTTAAGAAACGTATCAAGTTCCTTCACTGTCACAGGGTTCTTGCTTCAGCTGAATCCGTCTTTTATTTTCTTCATGACTCAATGGGTATTTTCGGTGATTTGAAAAAGGAAAAGAAAAATATATTTTTTGTTTGACTAATTTACTATGCAAACATCAGTTATGCTTATCTGTATTTTTGAAGTTGAATTTTTCAAAGTTTTTTTTTCTACACTTCCTCCTCCTGCTTTATTTTTCCATCATCTTTTCAGAATGGTCAAGAAGTTGATCAAAGTATTCTCCAACCATTTTATCAATGTTGTGCTAGAATTTTCGATACAGATGATGAAAACAAACGCAAAGAAGAGAAAAAGAAGACTAAGGTTAAATCAGAGGAGAAAACAAAAAAAATCTCAGCCAAATAGTACGACTACTCCTACTCCTACTGCTACTGGTAGTAGTCGTCGTTCACCAAAGAAAACACATTGTGCTTATTGTATTGCTTTAAGAGCACTACGGGATTATCAACGTGCACTAAACCATGAACGTGCAAAACCTACTTCAAGTCGTCCATATATCCATGAATTTGATGTTGATGATAATTCAGAGGCATTAAAAAAATCATCTACTGCTATGGCGGCTATAGAAGCATCAGGAACTGGTCTTATTTTAAATAATCCATTAGTTATGTCATTGTCTATTGTCTGTCAACAAACCTCCAAACTTTTATCGAATACTCCGCAAAGTGAATTACCATTTTCAAAAATTTATTATCAAGCAAAAGCTAAACGTTTAGAACAATTAATACGTTTAATGGGAAAACAGATATTAGTAAGTTGTCAGTCTGCTCTATGAACACCTCTATCTTTGAAACTATTGGGTTTATATTTTCATAGTATTAATTGTAGGTATTGTTTGGCTTTTTGTAAGAGGGATTGGGGTTGTGTGGTCATCTATAAAGCCATTAGATCTCGTCTTAACCCCTATCAACATACCAATTCATAAAAATGAAGGAAGATGTTTGGAGTAGGGTGAGTTGTCAGCAATAGGTGACGAATATTCAGTCATCTCAAACTACATCAGGTGTTTTATTGTTCTAATCATCTCAAAAGATGTAATAATTCCCTTAAAGCTAAATTAGTTCCAATAACTCAGTTATTCATCATTCTTGCATCTATATTTCTGTTACATTCGTTGAAGGAATAAGAACCGTAAAATTGGGAAATCAATGAAGGTTTTACGATTGGTAAGGGCATCAATTGTCGCTTCAGTGTATTCCATTTAGGAAAAACGGTTCCCAAACTATTTAACTTCAAGATAGAATCTTATATAATACTGAACATTTATGATCATCTTAGGTTTCCCTCAAAATGCTTTTATGGAAGAAAGCATTTTTCTTTCTGACAGCTTAATAATCAGTTTGTCATGATGAAATGTTTTGCTAGTCCATGTATAGAATACATACATATGATAGTCGTCCTTTGGTATACTGTTTTCTGTGAACACCTGCATCCAGTAGCCATCAATGAGCTGAAGATGGATGTGAAGGTCTTAGCTTCGATCCCTAGTGGAGTCGTGGGAGTACACTGCTGGAATGGAGTCCCAATCTAGGCCGTAACAGCTGTCCAGTGCTCCATGCTGGTTTTCAATAATCTTCAACTGATTTTGAGTTTATAACGAAATCTGCATAGAAATTTAATAAAATTCTTACAAAAACCCATTCGCTAAAGAGATAGTCAATATATTTTATGGCAACTACAATAACCTGAAGAAGAGAATTTACTTCATATCTTGGTAGATTATGGGAACCAGGAGATTGCACCATACGAAATCTCATAGTTTGTACAAGCGCTAGGATACTCTTCGAACTCTCAGACCGAAGCAAATAGCTGTCCTCTAGAGGACAACCTCACTCCTCTCTAGCCTAGCCTTTGACTTGAATTCTGTTCCACAAAGCAATGGAGCAGCGTCAGTACCTACATTCCAATGATTGACGGTAACCAAAACAAGTTCATACACTATATGATTCCTTCGGATTTTGGATGCCATCTATCATCTCGGGTGTAGAATGAAGTTTTTAAGTGCCCCTTGGGTAGACTAGCCGATTATCCACCCTTTCAGTTGTAACCTCCAGACAACTTATGAGGTTGGAAAGTTAATGTGTATGCTAGGTGGTCGTATGTCAAAATATGAGTGTTTCGTACTGCCATTTATTTTGTTCTATCCAAATGTCAAAAGGAAATAATTGAAGTCCTAGGAATGATTTGTTTATGCTTACTTTATTCTATATATATATATATATATATATATATATATATATATATATATATACATATATATATATATCCTTTGTTGTGATTCCTTTTAGTTAACAAGTCGTACACAATCTTTGACCAAAGAATGGTGGAATATACACGATGATACTGAACAGTTTGTTGTTCACCTGCAAGCCACATGTCCAACAGGCTTAGCATTTATTCATCAAGATGAGGTAATTTACTTTCTGTTTTGTCTTTTTCTTTTCTTTTTAAAAAAAATACTAGATAGTTAACGAATATATCGGCTGTAATGCTCTGAATCCATCCTATTGTCTGTCTGTCTTCTTCTTCTTACAGGTTGATCATCAACTATATCGTTCTTTAGTTGAAGCTGATATGATATGGCCCCCCGACTACAATCTCGTCTGGGTCGTTATAATTTTCTGCGCAACGCTTATTTGTCAGCAGTGACTGGTTTACCGACAGATGAAAATAATCCAAATAATAGTGAACGGCCAAGAACTCATCCAATTGAATGTCCTACCTGTTTTCAATCACATTCACCATCAACACCAACGTTTGTTTTACTACCTGGTTGTTGGCATAATTTATGCTTTCATTCAGTCACTGGGACCCGATTTAACGGCCCATGAAATCTAAATTCTACCAATTCTTGATTTTAGCTCGACTACCAACCAACTGCATTGGTGGGAACTCCATTCTCACTCCCGACTGGACGGATCCCACTGGTCAAAACTTCTCACTAGAACTTCAGGCAACTTCGTCATGTAGAAAGTCACTAGCGAACATCAGATTAATTTTTTCAAGAGTAAATTTATAAAGATTTGATGTGTTTTTCGAGTTAGACTATGGATTGATATCAGTTAGGGAGGGAAGCATTGAAAACCAGAGAGTACTGCTGATGAGTCACAAACCAGGATGAAACAGCTGTCCAGTACTCCTTGACAGTTTTCAATCCTTACAAATCGACTCTTAACAAAAACAATCATAAATAGTACCGAAGATATTGTGAGGAATGTTCATGATTATTGTTCACATTGGAGTTTATTCAGATTGATAGTAATGATAATATGAAAATCAGGCTGTAAAAATTTGGTAGAAGGTTATGTATGTATGTATGTGTGTGTGTGTATGTGTATCAGTGTGTTAGTGAATTACTAAGGCTAAATTAAGAAAAGAATATTCTTTTGTTCATTAATTCCAATCTCTTGAAATTTATAATGGGCATTTTAAATCAAGTAAATTATTGTGTGTAACGAATATATCGGCTGTAATGCGCTGAATCCATCCTATTGTCTGTCTGTCTGTCTTCTTCTTACAGGTTGATCATCAACTATATCGTTCTTTAGTTGAAGCTGATATGATATGGCCCCCCGACTACAATCTCGTCTGGGTCGTTATAATTTTCTGCGCAACGCTTATTTGTCAGCAGTGACTGGTTTACCGACAGATGAAAATAATCCAAATAATAGTGAACGGCCAAGAACTCATCCAATTGAATGTCCTACCTGTTTTCAATCACATTCACCATCAACACCAACGTTTGTTTTACTACCTGGTTGTTGGCATAATTTATGCTTTAATTGTCATCAACGTATAGCTACAATGCCAGAAATCACTCAACGACGTTGTCCTATCTGTCGGACACCACTTGAATCAAGAGAGATCACAGGTATCAATGCTCGACGTCGACAATCTTTAACACTTATTCACTATGCTGGTAATGAAACAAAGCAAGAAAATCAAATGAAATCTGAAGATAACGAAGAAGACTTGAATATAGTGGTAAGTTAGAGGTAATTTCATCTTCTGTAAGTCAGAAGGCTTCAATCCACAAGTTTCCATGTCCTTACAGTTATTGGTCACCGCGATTGATGATTCACAACCACTGATGAAATCCAGTCACAGCATCAATACTAAGGCGTAAACATTTGACTTCGGTTACTCATTCTAGTGACTGATGAATGTATGCTTAATGGTTGTCTACTTGTTGTGAGCTGACAGTCTAGCTAGCCAGTAAGTTGACTAATATACCACTGTGGTGCCCTGAAATTTTGATATTGGCTAATAAAGAACAAAGAACGGTCGTTAGCGAACTATCAGCTCAGGTTTTATGCTTGTTGTGGAGAGTTATTATGTGTATCTCATGTTGTTGGTGAGTGTGGTAAGTTTATAAACGCCACATCATTAATCTTCCTAACCCTCATGAAATTAGAAGAAGTGGTATGCCTGGGGGAAAAGATGTATTCTGTCTTATTTATGATAGTATCAGATATTTCCAGCTAACTGCTAGGTATTCTGTAGCTTACACACACATAATCATGTGACTCTTCTGCAAAATTTCGTGCACGCTGATTGACTTGATTGGTCCTCAAGCTTCTTGAGCAATTTAAATCTTATTATTCTTACACGCTATAACAGTTATCACCATTTGTTTAAGCTAATTTCACACCTCCTCTTGATTGATTATATTGAACCAAAACGTTCGGTGTCTGTTGACATGTCAGTTCCTAGTATGGAGACTTCGACTGTGTCTAAAGATTAACCATCACTCACTGAGGACTGTTCTGTAACCTTACTTGGTGAATCTCGCTGGTTACAACTTCCCACTAGAACTCCAGGTAAATTCCCGTATAGAACCAGTTACCAGTGTGGATCAGCATAATTATCAAGAGTACTGGACAGTTGTTTTGTCCTAGTTTGTCGCTCGTTGTCAGTAACGCACACTCACCCGTAACCCCAGTAGTTCCTTGTTTTTCAATGGTTCTCTAACTGACGTCAACTCATGATCGAATCTGTAACCAGTCAAATCCCTGCAAGACAACATTTGATAATAAACTTATTATTTTATGGGTTTTGTAGGAATATAGATTAATTCAAATGACACTGGTTGTTGGTAGCGTTATATCACGAATTGACAAAGTTAGGATTCACTGATCACTTAAATCCAACCAAAGTTACAGGATTTCATCATGAGCTGACATTAGTTAGAGAGCCATTGGAAAACCTGGGAGTACTGAACAGCTGTTTCGTCCTGGTTTGAGACTCTTCAGCAGTACACTGAATTCCAACCAAAGTGTTCGAGTGGTCAACGAGCTCGAGCTCGTCATCTGATGGTCTTAGGTTAGATCCCTGGTGGGATCGCGGTCGCGAGCTGATGAAGAATCCACAAATAAGACGAAACAGCTGCTTAATGTTCTTTGAATTTCAATGATTTTCAAACTGATGTTGATTCGTGAAGAAATCTGGATTAGAACTCTTCAAAATGATGGGAAGTAGCAAAACATAGAAATATAAACGGTTTCAAGATATCGTTCGCATTGAAATACATCAACCTGTTCACCTGTTTTCAGAGATTCTTTATGATCAGTGTGCTGACGACTAATCAATAAAGTTGTTAAACCAAGGCAGATTTTTGGATATATAATCGTTTATTCACCATGTGTGGATGTAAAAATCGACTTACGCTTTTCTAACGTTAATTAAGCATTAAACATTAAATCACAGTTGCACACTTATCGCTAATCCTAATGATAACTTGATGTTATTTCGAGGATGGTGGCTAGCACAGTGTAATCCAGCGTGCGCATTTCGTCTAACTTGGAACTCTTCAACTGGGTTAGGGTACCTGAAATCCTCAGTTAGTGATGGTTAATCTTTAGACACAGTCGAAGTCTCCATACTAGGAACTGACATGTCAACAGACACCGAACGTTTTGGTTCAATATAATCAATCAAGAGGAGGTGTGAAATTAGCTTAAACAAATGGTGATAACTGTTATAGCGTGTAAGAATAATAAGATTTAAATTGCTCAAGAAGCTTGAGGACCAATCAAGTCAATCAGCGTGCACGAAATTTTGCAGAAGTCACATGATTATGTGTGTGTAAGCTACAGACTACCTAGCAGTTAGCTGGAAATATCTGATACTATCATAAATAAGACAGAATACATCTTTTCCCCCAGGCATACCACTTCTTCTAATTTCATGAGGGTTAGGAAGATTAATGATGTGGCGTTTATAAACTTACCACACTCACCAACAACATGAGATACATAATAACTCTCCACAACAAGCATAAAACCTGAGCTGATAGTTCGCTAACGACCGTTCTTTGTTCTTTATTAGCCAATATCAAAATTTCAGGGCACCACAGTGGTATATTAGTCAACTTACTGGCTAGCTAGACTGTCAGCTCACAACAAGTAGACAACCATTAGGCATACATTCATCAGTCACTAGAATGAGTAACCGAAGTCAAATGTTTACGCCTTAGTATTGATGCTGTGACTGGATTTCATCAGTGGTTGTGAATCATCAATCGCGGTGACCAATAACTGTAAGGACATGGAAACTTGTGGATTGAAGCCTTCTGACTTACAGAAGATGAAATTACCTCTAACTTACCACTATATTCAAGTCTTCTTCGTTATCTTCAGATTTCATTTGATTTTCTTGCTTTGTTTCATTACCAGCATAGTGAATAAGTGTTAAAGGTTGTCGACGTCGAGCATTGATACCTGTGATCTCTCTTGATTCAAGTGGTGTCCGACAGATAGGACAACGTCGTTGAGTGATTTCTGGCATTGTAGCTATACGTTGATGACAATTAAAGCATAAATTATGCCAACAACCAGGTAGTAAAACAAACGTTGGTGTTGATGGTGAATGTGATTGAAAACAGGTAGGACATTCAATTGGATGAGTTCTTGGCCGTTCACTATTATTTGGATTATTTTCATCTGTCGGTAAACCAGTCACTGCTGACAAATAAGCGTTGCGCAGAAAATTATAACGACCCAGACGAGATTGTAGTCGGGGGGCCATATCATATCAGCTTCAACTAAAGAACGATATAGTTGATGATCAACCTGTAAGAAGAAGAAGACAGACAGACAATAGGATGGATTCAGCGCATTACAGCCGATATATTCGTTACACACAATAATTTACTTGATTTAAAATGCCCATTATAAATTTCAAGAGATTGGAATTAATGAACAAAAGAATATTCTTTTCTTAATTTAGCCTTAGTAATTCACTAACACACTGATACACATACACACACACACATACATACATACATAACCTTCTACCAAATTTTTACAGCCTGATTTTCATATTATCATTACTATCAATCTGAATAAACTCCAATGTGAACAATAATCATGAACATTCCTCACAATATCTTCGGTGCTATTTATGATTGTTTTTGTTAAGAGTCGATTTGTAAGGATTGAAAACTGTCAAGGAGTACTGGACAGCTGTTTCATCCTGGTTTGTGACTCATCAGCAGTACTCTCTGGTTTTCAATGCTTCCCTCCCTAACTGATATCAATCCATAGTCTAACTCGAAAAACAAATCAAATCTTTATAAATTTACTCTTGAAAAAATTAATCTGATGTTCGCTAGTGACTTTCTACATGACGAAGTTGCCTGAAGTTCTAGTGAGAAGTTTTGACCAGTGGGATCCGTCCAGTCGGGAGTGAGAATGGAGTTCCCACCAATGCAGTTGGTTGGTAGTCGAGCTAAAATCAAGAATTGGTAGAATTTAGATTTCATGGGCCGTTAAATCGGGTCCCAGTGACTGAATGACCTACGAATTTGCCTTGTAACCAGAAGGTCCTGTTTTCGAAATCCAGTGGGTGCGTACTGCCGATGATTATGTATGTTTAAAATAAGCAACAAATGTGGAAAAAGAAGCAGGATTTAACGAGTTCATAAATTTCGGTAGACAATCACATCAGCTTCAATACTCACTACAAATTTTTCTTATTTATACAATCTCTTCATAAGGTTAAATACATGCAACAAACACATGAATGTTGTGAGAACAAATAATTTTGTTAAATTTTACAATTTTTACAATTCTAGCTAATTCTATTAACTTGTTTGTTTGTATCTTACGTAACTCTTCTGAGTGAGTCATCCTATTCTTCTTAGTCATCATTGCTATTTTATAAATTTCCTGATTATGTAATAACTTGTCGCCAACGTCTAAGAATCAACTTATCTTGAATTCCGTAATTAATTTCCACCCTTTTTTAAAAAAAACTTAGATATCTTGTTACTAACATATCTATTAGTTATTTGTTTTGATGACCTTTAACCTCTTGATTTCACCTCCGCCTATACCTGAAACTGACTAATTGAAATAACCACTTGATTGGTAAAACATTTTGATGTAAAAAACAACTATGTATTAGTGTAGAGCCTGTGGTTGATGAGGAACTATAATTGAAAAGAAATATATTTTTTTTCGCTCAACCTGTTGTTGATTTTTTCTCAATACGTAAATGGGAATTTTTAAATAAGTATCAATTTCAACAAAAAATGCATGAACTATAAGTAAGTGGTGAGTGATAATCTGTTAACGTTATTATTAAGTGAATAGTATTCACCAAAGCATACATTATCACAGATAAACTGGAGTTGTTGTTGTTGTAGTAGGAATGAATTAATGCAATTATAAACGCTTAAATTTGATTAAAATGAAATACAGGGAAACTCTGCAAAACACAAATAAATCAATTTGACATAATGTAAACCATATAGGACTAAATGACAGGCTTTTAAAATGACTCATCTTAACGCATAAGAGAGTCTTGACACTCTTCACTAAGATTAATACTCAACTCATGTCCCTCCTGATATTTGAAGCTAGATCGTCCGGTGCCTGAATAGCGCACTGACATTGTTTCTAACTAAGTCACTAGGTGACACGGGTTCGAATCCCAGGGAAACATGAGTTTAATGAAAACAAAACATGTAGTTCGACGAAGAGTCTCTTTTCGGCGAATTCATTTTCACAGCTGTACAATCGCATATATATATGACAGTTATTTTGAATGTATGTGTACATTAAGTTTGTAATACAAACTACAATTGGTTATGGTTATTTCAACCATATGTGGAAATTATTAAGTTTTGGGTAGAGTTGGGTAGAACAAAAACAGTCAAGGAAATCGGGTGATAATGAAACTAGTGTGGTGACAAAGGTGATGAGTTGTCACAAACAGTTGTCAAAATGCAGTTACGTAATAATATGAATAGTTTGATGATTGAGTTGTACTCAGGATACACATATGAACATAGTAGAGGACACGAAATTACGTAAAGTTCCAAATGAATACAAGAATTATAAGCAATTAAAGAAACATGCAGACAAACATAATTAAGTCATCAAAAATCAACATATTTGTGACCATGATAATAGGAACCTTAAGAAGATCGATCCATAGAAAAGCTACTTCGAATGGTCAACTAACAAGCTTCTACACCTGGCTACCCATCCAACAAAATCGGAATTGAATTAAATCTCTTGCCACCCACATCCCACGCATCTGTAGTCCCCATGTTCTAGAAACAGAATCACATTTTTTGAGAAAAATCTTCATCCAAGATGGATACCCACCAAGATTCATTGACAGAAATATCAAACCGAGAATTTGGAGGAATGAAACTTCACTTGAGCCGAAAAACAACTCCACATGAACTTGGATTTCAAGGGAGATTTAGCAACTTTGTTGATTTTCGATGGCTTGATTTTGTTTGTCTGCCTGTCTCTTTAATTGCTTATCATTCTTGTATTCATCTAGAACTCCTACGTAATTTCCTGTTCTCTACTTTCTTCCTATGTGTATCCTGAGTACAACTCAATCATCAAACTATTCATATTATTACGTAACTGCATTTTGACAACTGTTTGTGACAACTCATCACCTTTGTCACCACACTAGTTTCATTATCACCCGATTTCCTTGACTGTTTTTGTTCTACCCAACTCTACCCAAAACTTAATAATTTTCACCTGTTTAGTTAAAATAACCATAACAAATTGTGGTTTGTAGTTTGTTTGACAAACTTAATGTACACATACATACCAAATAACTGTCATATGTATATGCGATTGTACAGCTGTGAAAATGAATTCGCCGAAAAGAGACTCTTCGCTGAACTACGTGTTTTGTTTTTTGCATTAATGTCCGGATGGCGATTTTCCATGAATTAAATCATGAGTTTCTTTAATAGTTGCAGATATGTGTTACTGACGAGTACCAACAAGAACAAAAACCGCTTCTAGGGCATTTAAATAGAAAAGACAAATGATCCGTATAATTTAACACTTTTATCACTGATAATATTTCATGTCTGCTTTATCCAGAATAATAATAGGCTCTTTCAGATTATACAGTGTGCAAGCAAAACGGTTATCTTACTCATTATTAAGGAAAGCAGATACAAGGAAACAGGATCCACCGAAGATACTAGCTTAAGAGATTCCTGAAAATTTTCCAGGTTACTGTGCCGGACTATTTATCAGCTCGAAATCGGTGGTACTTCTTCTAGCTGGAGATTGTAAAATACCTAATTTTCACTTATTATTCTATCCAATAAGAAGAAAATAATGATCATTGTGACAGTCTTAGTTATCGATTGTCAACTTATTAATGATTATACATACAAGTTGAAAAATAAATACAATTCAATTTTGGTTTTTGCAGAATCACACTAACCTGAATCCACCTCGATTCATATGTGGTGTACTTTGAAAACTTGCTATAAGCATATCAATCAAACTGTTGCCTAAACCTGAAGCAATAAGCCAGTCTATGGCTTCTGTAAGCCAACTAAGCCATCCTCCAGCGTCTATAGCAGCCATTTTCTCCGTTAGCTGATCACTAGTTCTATTTCTTCTGTGATAATCAAATTCATCATCTAATTGTGTTACAATTGGATCTAAGCTGTCACGTACTTTGGCGAGTAATTGAGAATGCATCTAAATTAGAAAATTAATATATATATATATATATATATATATATATATATATATATATATATATATATATAATGATGTAGATAAAGTAGTCAATATTAAACTGGACGTTTTTCATGAAAGAATACACCTACAGTACGAATGTCATTAATAAAAGTCTACGGAAATTCATAGATAGCATGGTATGTATTGGAATATTTAGCATCACGAAAGGTGGACTTCAACGTAGCCTAGTATCTATTCAAAAACGAAGTTGAACTTATCTAGTATTCTTCATAGTTCCAAACTCTTCAACACTGTCTACTACACAACTACATTGGCAGGTCAAAATAGCCAGCACTTTATCTGTGATCCATTAGGTTAATAGGCGATTTCAATAATTACCACTTAAATACAGGTAACACATTTCATTTAAGTTCAAGTATTGGTTTGTAGGGATTTGGTCGACTGGTTACAGGATTTCATCATGAGCTGACATTGGTTAGAGAACCATTGGAAAACCTGGGAGTACTGGACAGCTGTTTCGTCCTAGTTTGTGACTCTTTAGCAGTACGCGCCCACCAGGGTTCGAACCCAGGATCTTCTGGTTACAAGGCGAGCTCGTATACCATTTAGCCACTGGGACCCGATCCAATGGCCCATGAATTCTAACTTCTGCCAATTCACGATATAGCGCAACCGCTAGCCAATGTCTTCGGCGAGTATTTGTCCTCACTTTGGACCTGCTGCACCCTACTGGTCACGACTTCCCACTGGAACCCCAGGTAACTACCTACCTGAATAGGGCCCGTCGCCAGTGAGCATCTCATTGATGTTCATTTAACCAGGACATCTAAATATCTATTTAGCTATGAACTATGATTAGTGATTAAACATTAGTAAACAAACTAGTTCGACAAGTCACGATATATGGACGGTGACTGAGGCAAAATCTTTCTGGACAAAAGTCCGTGTTGAATCGCAGCACCTCAACAAAAATTCATCAGCTACACATATCATGAATTGGTAGAGGTTGGAATTCATGGACCACTGGATTTCATCTCAGTGACTGAATGGCCAACGAGGCCACTTTGTTACCTAAAGGTACTGGTGTTCGATCCCTGGTGATGCTGTGGGTGCGCAGTGATGAGGAGTCGCAAACTAAGACGAAACAACCGTCTAGGACCACCTTGTTAGTTTTCAATGGTTCTCCATCTGAAGTCAGTTAGTGATCAAATTGACAATCAGTCAGACTCCTACGAATTTATAAGCTAAAAGTGCTAGTGCTTTCTCTTAAAGTGTACTACAAGTTCATAATGTGCCGTGGAAGTCAAATAAAGAAAACAGGGTATTGTATGTTTTTCCAAAGGAAAAATCCTGTGAATCCTAAACTGCTGACTCGACTCCTATACAAAAAAGCAAAAGTAATCATAAAGCTACGGATACAACTTTTATTAGATGGTGTATGAGAAACGCTTATAGATAAGATTCTCTCAATGAAAAGTTTCACATAAATATATGAATGTGTATTTCATACAAGTTTTAAGAACAAAAACAAAAAGTGATGGGTTCCATATTCTCGTCAATTAACCGCACTGCTAGTTAATAACATTTAAAATGGCCCAGTGTAGATTTCGTCACGAATCGACATCAGGTGAACAATCACTGAAAGCCTAGGAGCACTAACTAGCTGCTCCCTCGTGGTTTAAGGCCCTTCAGCAGTCCGCACCCATGACACACTCACTTGGGATTGAAACCCATGATGTTCAGTTTACCAGGCCAGGGCACTAACTATTCAGTCACGGAGTGTCAATTCAGTGACTTGTGAACTTTAACTTACGTTAATTAGAGAAGAGTTCCAAGAGAGAATGAAACACGTATCCAGTACTCTTGGGCCTACAGTGATTCACTAACAGATGTCCGTCCGTGACAAAAACTCTGCTGAAATTAATCCAAATCCCTACGAAACCCGAAATCTGAATAAAGTGTTTATATAATTCCTTCTGAGCATCGGTGATTCATAACGTAGAATGCTTGCCAACCACGTTTGTGGTCCAGGGTTCGAATCCTGGCCGACACACTGCTAAATATGACTTGGTAGGTAGTAATCCCGGCAAAGACGGAGACAACCAGACAGGCTTTAAACCAGGAAGAGGGTGTGTAGACCATATCTTCACTCTTCGACAGATTCTGGAACATGGGCATATTTACCAGAGTCCAACAATCGTCATATTTCTTGACCTGAAGGCGGTATTCGATTCTGTCTTTGAAGGGAATACCAAGAAAATACATCGCACTGATAATGGCACTTTACTCGAACTCATGCAGCCAGGTGAGAGCTTACGGCGAGCTGTCATCTGAGGTGGTGACAACCAGTGGTGTCCGTCGGGGATTCACGCTATCCCCATTTCTATTCAACTTCATCATAGATGTACTAATCTATTTAACACTAACTGACTTCGGTAACTCGGTCATTGACTTGTTAGCAGAGAATAATCTCGTTGACTTAGAATTTGTATGCGGATGACACAGTCCTCCCTGCTAGATGAAGACGCTGACAAAATAGAGCAGAGTCCTTTCAACACCTTGAGGAGCAGCAATCTTCGAATGCTTGTCATGTGATTCGCTCCCGCCAAATGTAAGATGATGTGACTGCAGGACTGGACTACACCAACTATTTCTAGCGTCAAGATAGGGAGTGAAGTAGTTGGTGGAGCGTGTTGACCACTTCAATTAATTTACTTGGGGAGTTACATCAGCCAGTTCCAGCGGGTTAGTCTCCAAAGAAATCTGAGCTCAGATACAGAAGGCTCATTTGGTATTCGCCTGTCAACTTACGCCATCTGCGGCGTACACGTGATATTCGGCCGGCTGTCGATCAAAGGGCGTGTGTACTACTCGGCAGTCTGCTCCGTCCTCCTTTATGGCTATGAGACATGGCCACTGAAAGTGGAAGACATGAAAAAGCCGGCTAGGTGTCTTTGATCATAGGTTTCTGAGTTCTGTCTCCCGTGTGAAGTCGTATAATAGAATGAGCAATATCGAGGTAACGCATCGGTCGAGTGTTAGGTAGGTGGGAGGGGAAATCAATCAACGAGGCTGTGAAGCAGCTGCATCGATTGAAATGGTTAGGACATGTGTTACATATGCCTAGCCATCGCTTTCCTCGACTGACAGGCAATGTTACTTCACTGAGATAGGATCAGGTTGAAAAAGAGAGAGAGCTAGTGATGGTCAAACCAAAACATGGCTTCATCAGCCGATATATATATATATATATAATTACTTGTTATTTTATGCTACCTACCTTTTTCACTTAAAAATTTATAATCGGTTATGACAAAAAGTCAGATTAAAATCTGGGTCGCAGCAGGACTCGAACCAATGACCTACGGATTACGAACCCAACGCTCTTACACCCCATAGATCAACTGGCAGAATATTAGACTAGTAATTCTGAGGGTTTTTCTTTGAATCATGCGATGGTATTTATTATTATTCCCTTGGTTTCCGAGTAGAATATAGGGTTCAAGAGAGTATCTCCCTTTCACTCCATTGCCTTCAGTCTATACAAGTTGGCTCCGCGACTGCCTATAGTCTCTCATTTCCTCCATGTCACCCTCGGACTCACGTCCAACTCATCGTCTCCCATTCAGGTTCCACTTGAGGGCCTGCCAAGTAACATTACTCAACGGTGTGTTTCCGATCCATCTCTATTTACTTCGGCAGATTCGTAAGGCTACAGGTGTTTTCGTTGGTTCGTTGCACTGCAGAGTTCCTTGTTACTAAAACTTTCTAGCCACCTAATCTTCAGTATGGAGCCATCGAAGGTAGTTGTGGATAAAACTCTTTAGCAGCTTTTTGGAAATGCTTTTCGTGCCACATCAAGTCTCTGACACGATGTAGGTTTCCATTTCACCTACAATCAATCATCACCCCCATTAAATTAATCGCAGTCGTCCAGTCTAGGGAGCTATATCAGAAAGTCTCACCACCAATTAAAAATAATACCGTCCCATGAAATTGTCAGGCGTGTACAAATCAAATCAAAGTTATTACAACTAAACGCATGGACTATGTAAACGAATTTTTTAACAATAAAAATGAGCAAACAAAATAAAGGATAAAAGACATAATACAAGCATCTGTAAATATCTCATTTCTACTTATTTTTAAAAAATATCCTAATGAATAAACAAACATACTTGGATATATGTAGTTCGCATGCGTTCAGCTTTAGCCTGCAGATCTCTATCCACACGAGGATCTAATCCTTCAAGACTAAACTCTTCGTATTTTTTAGTATTGATTGAAACAACAGAGCATGAAGCATTTTGCAATAACGGTGGTGGTTTATTCGGTAGAACAGGTAAAGGTTCATCTAATAGTGGAACTTTTTTACTTTCAATTAACCAGTGTAAATTTGTTACTGAATGAAGTCGTTGACTCCAGTCAGCGAGAATACCATGATGCCTTTCGAGACTTTCAGTTGAACGTAATACATCTCGGTAACAGTCTGCAGCTTGAACTAACTGAAAATGAAAACAAAAAGGGGGAATTAATTTATTTATTAATTCAACTTAGATTATCATAAAAACTGTGTGATACTGTGTTGGTTCTTTTATGCGTTTCAGTTGACTTGTCTGTATTAAAATTAACTACTTGAGATTACTTGACAGACAGATTTGAACTTGAGTTGTATTGCCTTAATATTATGAAATTGGTTAGTGGAAATGGCTAACACTGAATGATTTCCTTTAGTTTGGCTTCCTCAAATAGTCACATTTTTGGACGGTGAAGACTGTCGTTCACAATTTCATTTTATCGGACTTATTGTTAGCGTCTTTGTTATTTTGATGGTTGTTTTAGTTTGAACCTACTTTCTGATAACATCCTTGAACAAGTTTTTCCTTCATACATCTATTCGTCTTTATGAATTTGAGTAAAGCAGGAAAACAATAGTTTGTGCAGAATAAGATGATACCATCATTTATTTCGTTGACTTTTCATCAGCTGCTTACAGCGTAGAGATATTATTAAGTTTATATACAGAAAGAATTTTAACATGCAATTTTTACATGATGTCAGTTGACAGAGAGTCCAAGTTTAGAAAAAAAACCAATGTATGGTAAATGAATTACGCAACAAAGACTAGAGGTTAAAGCAAAAGATTACGCAATCACGTGAAAGGGAGAATAAAGACATCCAGTTACCAGGGTAAGGAAAGACTGATAACTACTTCTTTCTGAACACATAAATCGAGTTTCAGATATTTGATAAAGATTACTTTAGCGAACTGGAAGATAACTGGGCGATTTTGTCTATTAATGAGGATATGCCTAGCAATGGCACTATTGAAAGAGTTTGTTCCGTTGAGACGTATGCTTTTTGGTACATGTTCAGAAAAACACAGGTATGCCGTTCTTTCTGTTCTCTCTGTTTGGCTGTTCCTGTAGATACATGTATATCTGTATACACAGCTGGAGTTAACATGAGAAGGGTATCTGTCAACTTTTGATTCAAGAAAAGAGCATGTTTTTCGATAAAGAGGAACTAACACACCCGCAGGATAAGATCAGGTTGGTGACGTATTCAACCTTCTATTGACTATTCCAGCAATATTACCACCTTTGTATATGTATATATATATATATATAATATTATTGTTTCCTTTAGTTCCTAGAGGAACATAGGGCTTCAGTCGCACGTCTCCATTTTCACCTGGCCCTACGTCTTCCCACATGCTTTCATCTCCTCTTCACATAACCTCCTCCATATCACCTTTGGACGACCAAATTGCCACTTCCCGTTCGGATTCCACTCGAGAGCCTGTCGTGTGATGTCATTTGATGGTTTTCTCAGAGTATAGCCAATCCACCTCCATTTCTTCCTGCACATTTGTTGCACAATCGGTTCCTGGTTGGTTCACTGCCAGAGATCCCTTTTGCTGATCTTTTCTGGCCATCTGATCTTGAATATTGAGCATATATATATATATATATATATATATATATATATATGGGATGCCAAATGTCACTGAGCGATATACCTTAAAAATGTGAAGCATCAATGATCCGAACGGGCTATAAACACTGAGTGAAAGGCTTTTTTCCTTCCCATAGACAAGTAGTGTTGCTCTTCTCTTAAAAATGCCATATACAAGTGTTCGTTTATATAATATCCAATATAAAGCAAAATATATGTGTAATTTAAGACACTACATAACTAGAAAGAAAATGCTCAGACTAACTAACACTTAATTCTACTCCAAAGTTGTTTTTTTCTTTCGAAAGTTAGGACAAAGATATACTTAATACGTATATACACTCTTCTTACCTCATTTTTGATAATGAAACAACCAGCAGCACCATTTTTATTGAAATAATAATAATAATAGGTTTCCACTGAGACTGAAACGAAGCTCTCCTATACACATAACTATCTTTTTATTACTAAGTAATGTACCAGTTATTTTTTCGCCTTTTATCTATTCTCGAAATAGATGTTTTACGATGACTGAAGTTATACGTCGAGTTGTTGATGAAACGAGAAGAGAATGTGAAGGACTTTTACGTACTTGGGTATTCAATAAAAATGGTGCTGCTGGTTGTTTCATTATCAAAAATGAGGTAAGAAGAGTGTATATACGTATTAAGTATATCTTTGTCCTAACTTTCGAAAGAAAAAAACAACTTTGGAGTAGAATTAAGTGTTAGTTAGTCTGAGCATTTTCTTTCTAGTTATGTAGTGTCTTAAATTACACATATATTTTGCTTTGTATTGGATATTATATAAACGAACACTTGTATATGGCATTTTTAAGAGAAGAGCAACACTACTTGTCTGTGGGAAGGAAAAAAGCCTTTCACTCAGTGTTTATAGCCCGTTCGGATCATTGATGCTTCACATTTTTAAGGTATATCGCTCAGTGACATTTGGCATCCCATATATATATATATATATGCTCAATATTCAAGATCAGATGGCCAGAAAAGATCAGCAAAAGGGATCTCTGGCAGTGAACCAACCAGGAACCGATTGTGCAACAAATGTGCAGGAAGAAATGGAGGTGGATTGGCTATACTCTGAGAAAACCATGAAATGACATCACACGACAGGCTCTCGAGTGGAATCCGAACGGGAAGTGGCAATTTGTTCGTCCAAAGGTGATATGGAGGAGGTTATGTGAAGAGGAGATGAAAGCATGTGGGAAGACGTAGGGCCAGGTGAAAATGGAGACGTGCGACTGAAGCCCTATGTTCCTCTAGGAACTAAAGGAAACAATAATATTATATATATATATATATATACATATACAAAGGTGGTAATATTGCTGGAATAGTCAATAGAAGGTTGAATACGTCACCAACCTGATCTTATCCTGCGGGTGTGTTAGTTCCTCTTTATCGAAAAACATGCTCTTTTCTTGAATCAAAAGTTGACAGATACCCTTCTCATGTTAACTCCAGCTGTGTATACAGATATACATGTATCTACAGGAACAGCCAAACAGAGAGAACAGAAAGAACGGCATACCTGTGTTTTTCTGAACATGTACCAAAAAGCATACGTCTCAACGGAACAAACTCTTTCAATAGTGCCATTGCTAGGCATATCCTCATTAATAGACAAAATCGCCCAGTTATCTTCCAGTTCGCTAAAGTAATCTTTATCAAATATCTGAAACTCGATTTATGTGTTCAGAAAGAAGTAGTTATCAGTCTTTCCTTACCCTGGTAACTGGATGTCTTTATTCTCCCTTTCACGTGATTGCGTAATCTTTTGCTTTAACCTCTAGTCTTTGTTACGTAATTCATTTACCATACATTGGTTTTTTTTCTAAACTTGGACTCTCTGTCAACTGACATCATGTAAAAATTGCATGTTAAAATTCTTTCTGTATATAAACTTAATAATATCTCTACGCTGTAAGCAGCTGATGAAAAGTCAACGAAATAAATGATGGTATCATCTTATTCTGCACAAACTATTGTTTTCCTGCTTTATTCAAATTCATAAAGACGAATAGATGTATGAAGGAAAAACTTGTTCAAGGATGTTATCAGAAAGTAGGTTCAAACTAAAACAACCATCAAAATAACAAAGACGCTAACAATAAGTCCGATAAAATGAAATTGTGAACGACAGTCTTCACCGTCCAAAAATGTGACTATTTGAGGAAGCCAAACTAAAGGAAATCATTCAGTGTTAGCCATTTCCACTAACCAATTTCATAATATTAAGGCAATACAACTCAAGTTCAAATCTGTCTGTCAAGTAATCTCAAGTAGTTAATTTTAATACAGACAAGTCAACTGAAACGCATAAAAGAACCAACACAGTATCACACAGTTTTTATGATAATCTAAGTTGAATTAATAAATAAATTAATTCCCCCTTTTTGTTTTCATTTTCAGTTAGTTCAAGCTGCAGACTGTTACCGAGATGTATTACGTTCAACTGAAAGTCTCGAAAGGCATCATGGTATTCTCGCTGACTGGAGTCAACGACTTCATTCAGTAACAAATTTACACTGGTTAATTGAAAGTAAAAAAGTTCCACTATTAGATGAACCTTTACCTGTTCTACCGAATAAACCACCACCGTTATTGCAAAATGCTTCATGCTCTGTTGTTTCAATCAATACTAAAAAATACGAAGAGTTTAGTCTTGAAGGATTAGATCCTCGTGTGGATAGAGATCTGCAGGCTAAAGCTGAACGCATGCGAACTACATATATCCAAGTATGTTTGTTTATTCATTAGGATATTTTTTAAAAATAAGTAGAAATGAGATATTTAGAGATGCTTGTATTATGTCTTTTATCCTTTATTTTGTTTGCTCATTTTTATTGTTAAAAAATTCGTTTACATAGTCCATGCGTTTAGTTGTAATAACTTTGATTTGATTTGTACACGCCTGACAATTTCATGGGACGGTATTATTTTTAATTGGTGGTGAGACTTTCTGATATAGCTCCCTAGACTGGACGACTGCGATTAATTTAATGGGGGTGATGATTGATTGTAGGTGAAATGGAAACCTACATCGTGTCAGAGACTTGATGTGGCACGAAAAGCATTTCCAAAAAGCTGCTAAAGAGTTTTATCCACAACTACCTTCGATGGCTCCATACTGAAGATTAGGTGGCTAGAAAGTTTTAGTAACAAGGAACTCTGCAGTGCAACGAACCAACGAAAACACCTGTAGCCTTACGAATCTGCCGAAGTAAATAGAGATGGATCGGAAACACACCGTTGAGTAATGTTACTTGGCAGGCCCTCAAGTGGAACCTGAATGGGAGACGATGAGTTGGACGTGAGTCCGAGGGTGACATGGAGGAAATGAGAGACTATAGGCAGTCGCGGAGCCAACTTGTATAGACTGAAGGCAATGGAGTGAAAGGGAGATACTCTCTTGAACCCTATATTCTACTCGGAAACCAAGGGAATAATAATAAATACCATCGCATGATTCAAAGAAAAACCCTCAGAATTACTAGTCTAATATTCTGCCAGTTGATCTATGGGGTGTAAGAGCGTTGGGTTCGTAATCCGTAGGTCATTGGTTCGAGTCCTGCTGCGACCCAGATTTTAATCTGACTTTTTGTCATAACCGATTATAAATTTTTAAGTGAAAAAGGTAGGTAGCATAAAATAACAAGTAATTATATATATATATATATCGGCTGATGAAGCCATGTTTTGGTTTGACCATCACTAGCTCTCTCTCTTTTTCAACCTGATCCTATCTCAGTGAAGTAACATTGCCTGTCAGTCGAGGAAAGCGATGGCTAGGCATATGTAACACATGTCCTAACCATTTCAATCGATGCAGCTGCTTCACAGCCTCGTTGATTGATTTCCCCTCCCACCTACCTAACACTCGACCGATGCGTTACCTCGATATTGCTCATTCTATTATACGACTTCACACGGGAGACAGAACTCAGAAACCTATGATCAAAGACACCTAGCCGGCTTTTTCATGTCTTCCACTTTCAGTGGCCATGTCTCATAGCCATAAAGGAGGACGGAGCAGACTGCCGAGTAGTACACACGCCCTTTGATCGACAGCCGGCCGAATATCACGTGTACGCCGCAGATGGCGTAAGTTGACAGGCGAATACCAAATGAGCCTTCTGTATCTGAGCTCAGATTTCTTTGGAGACTAACCCGCTGGAACTGGCTGATGTAACTCCCCAAGTAAATTAATTGAAGTGGTCAACACGCTCCACCAACTACTTCACTCCCTATCTTGACGCTAGAAATAGTTGGTGTAGTCCAGTTCTGCAGTCACATCATCTTACATTTGGCGGGAGCGAATCACATGACAAGCATTCGAAGATTGCTGCTCCTCAAGGTGTTGAAAGGACTCTGCTCTATTTTGTCAGCGTCTTCATCTAGCAGGGAGGACTGTGTCATCCGCATACAAATTCTAAGTCAACGAGATTATTCTCTGCTAACAAGTCAATGACCGAGTTACCGAAGTCAGTTAGTGTTAAATAGATTAGTACATCTATGATGAAGTTGAATAGAAATGGGGATAGCGTGAATCCCCGACGGACACCACTGGTTGTCACCACCTCAGATGACAGCTCGCCGTAAGCTCTCACCTGGCTGCATGAGTTCGAGTAAAGTGCCATTATCAGTGCGATGTATTCTCTTGGTATTCCCTTCAAAGACAGAATCGAATACCGCCTTCAGGTCAAGAAATATGACGATTGTTGGACTCTGGTAAATATGCCCATGTTCCAGAATCTGTCGAAGAGTGAAGATATGGTCTACACACCCTCTTCCTGGTTTAAAGCCTGTCTGGTTGTCTCCGTCTTTGCCGGGATTACTACCTACCAAGTCATATTTAGCAGTGTGTCGGCCAGGATTCGAACCCTGGACCACAAACGTGGTTGGCAAGCATTCTACGTTATGAATCACCGATGCTCAGAAGGAATTATATAAACACTTTATTCAGATTTCGGGTTTCGTAGGGATTTGGATTAATTTCAGCAGAGTTTTTGTCACGGACGGACATCTGTTAGTGAATCACTGTAGGCCCAAGAGTACTGGATACGTGTTTCATTCTCTCTTGGAACTCTTCTCTAATTAACGTAAGTTAAAGTTCACAAGTCACTGAATTGACACTCCGTGACTGAATAGTTAGTGCCCTGGCCTGGTAAACTGAACATCATGGGTTTCAATCCCAAGTGAGTGTGTCATGGGTGCGGACTGCTGAAGGGCCTTAAACCACGAGGGAGCAGCTAGTTAGTGCTCCTAGGCTTTCAGTGATTGTTCACCTGATGTCGATTCGTGACGAAATCTACACTGGGCCATTTTAAATGTTATTAACTAGCAGTGCGGTTAATTGACGAGAATATGGAACCCATCACTTTTTGTTTTTGTTCTTAAAACTTGTATGAAATACACATTCATATATTTATGTGAAACTTTTCATTGAGAGAATCTTATCTATAAGCGTTTCTCATACACCATCTAATAAAAGTTGTATCCGTAGCTTTATGATTACTTTTGCTTTTTTGTATAGGAGTCGAGTCAGCAGTTTAGGATTCACAGGATTTTTCCTTTGGAAAAACATACAATACCCTGTTTTCTTTATTTGACTTCCACGGCACATTATGAACTTGTAGTACACTTTAAGAGAAAGCACTAGCACTTTTAGCTTATAAATTCGTAGGAGTCTGACTGATTGTCAATTTGATCACTAACTGACTTCAGATGGAGAACCATTGAAAACTAACAAGGTGGTCCTAGACGGTTGTTTCGTCTTAGTTTGCGACTCCTCATCACTGCGCACCCACAGCATCACCAGGGATCGAACACCAGTACCTTTAGGTAACAAAGTGGCCTCGTTGGCCATTCAGTCACTGAGATGAAATCCAGTGGTCCATGAATTCCAACCTCTACCAATTCATGATATGTGTAGCTGATGAATTTTTGTTGAGGTGCTGCGATTCAACACGGACTTTTGTCCAGAAAGATTTTGCCTCAGTCACCGCCCATATATCGTGACTTGTCGAACTAGTTTGTTTACTAATGTTTAATCACTAATCATAGTTCATAGCTAAATAGATATTTAGATGTCCTGGTTAAATGAACATCAATGAGATGCTCACTGGCGACGGGCCCTATTCAGGTAGGTAGTTACCTGGGGTTCCAGTGGGAAGTCGTGACCAGTAGGGTGCAGCAGGTCCAAAGTGAGGACAAATACTCGCCGAAGACATTGGCTAGCGGTTGCGCTATATCGTGAATTGGCAGAAGTTAGAATTCATGGGCCATTGGATCGGGTCCCAGTGGCTAAATGGTATACGAGCTCGCCTTGTAACCAGAAGATCCTGGGTTCGAACCCTGGTGGGCGCGTACTGCTAAAGAGTCACAAACTAGGACGAAACAGCTGTCCAGTACTCCCAGGTTTTCCAATGGTTCTCTAACCAATGTCAGCTCATGATGAAATCCTGTAACCAGTCGACCAAATCCCTACAAACCAATACTTGAACTTAAATGAAATGTGTTACCTGTATTTAAGTGGTAATTATTGAAATCGCCTATTAACCTAATGGATCACAGATAAAGTGCTGGCTATTTTGACCTGCCAATGTAGTTGTGTAGTAGACAGTGTTGAAGAGTTTGGAACTATGAAGAATACTAGATAAGTTCAACTTCGTTTTTGAATAGATACTAGGCTACGTTGAAGTCCACCTTTCGTGATGCTAAATATTCCAATACATACCATGCTATCTATGAATTTCCGTAGACTTTTATTAATGACATTCGTACTGTAGGTGTATTCTTTCATGAAAAACGTCCAGTTTAATATTGACTACTTTATCTACATCATTATATATATATATATATATATATATATATATATATATATATATATATATATTAATTTTCTAATTTAGATGCATTCTCAATTACTCGCCAAAGTACGTGACAGCTTAGATCCAATTGTAGCACAATTAGATGATGAATTTGATTATCACAGAAGAAATAGAACTAGTGATCAGCTAACGGAGAAAATGGCTGCTATAGACGCTGGAGGATGGCTTAGTTGGCTTACAGAAGCCATAGACTGGCTTATTGCTTCAGGTTTAGGCAACAGTTTGATTGATATGCTTATAGCAAGTTTTCAAAGTACACCACATATGAATCGAGGTGGATTCAGGTTAGTGTGATTCTGCAAAAACCAAAATTGAATTGTATTTATTTTTCAACTTGTATGTATAATCATTAATAAGTTGACAATCGATAACTAAGACTGTCACAATGATCATTATTTTCTTCTTATTGGATAGAATAATAAGTGAAAATTAGGTATTTTACAATCTCCAGCTAGAAGAAGTACCACCGATTTCGAGCTGATAAATAGTCCGGCACAGTAACCTGGAAAATTTTCAGGAATCTCTTAAGCTAGTATCTTCGGTGGATCCTGTTTCCTTGTATCTGCTTTCCTTAATAATGAGTAAGATAACCGTTTTGCTTGCACACTGTATAATCTGAAAGAGCCTATTATTATTCTGGATAAAGCAGACATGAAATATTATCAGTGATAAAAGTGTTAAATTATACGGATCATTTGTCTTTTCTATTTAAATGCCCTAGAAGCGGTTTTTGTTCTTGTTGGTACTCGTCAGTAACACATATCTGCAACTATTAAAGAAACTCATGATTTAATTCATGGAAAATCGCCATCCGGACATTAATGCAAAAAACAAAACACGTAGTTCAGCGAAGAGTCTCTTTTCGGCGAATTCATTTTCACAGCTGTACAATCGCATATATATATGACAGTTATTTTGAATGTATGTGTACATTAAGTTTGTAATACAAACTACAATTGGTTATGGTTATTTCAACCATATGTGGAAATTATTAAGTTTTGGGTAGAGTTGGGTAGAACAAAAACAGTCAAGAAAATCGGGTGATAATGAAACTAGTGTGGTGACAAAGGTGATGAGTTGCAACAAACAGTTGTCAAAATGCAGTTACGTAATAATATGAATAGTTTGATGATTGAGTTGTACTCAGGATACACATATGAACATAGTAGAGGACACGAAATTACGTAAAGTTCCAAATGAATACAAGAATGATAAGCAATTAAAGAAACATGCAGACAAACATAATTAAGTCATCAAAAATCAACAAAGTTGCTAAATCTCCCTTGAAATCCAAGTTCATGTGGAGTTTGTTTTTCGGCTCAAGTGAAGTTTCATTCCTCCAAATTCTCGGTTTGATATTTCTGTCAATGAATCTTGGTGGGTATCCATCTTGGATGAAGATTTTTCTCAAAAAATGTGATTCTGTTTCTAGAACATGGGGACTACAGATGCGTGGGATGTGGGTGGCAAGAGATTTAATTCGATTCCGATTTTGTTGGATGGGTAGCCAGGTGTAGAAGCTTGTTAGTTGACCATTCGAAGTAGCTTTTCTATGGATCGATCTTCTTAAGGTTCCTATTATCATGGTCACAAATATGTTGATTTTTGATGACTTAATTATGTTTGTCTGCATGTTTCTTTAATTGCTTATCATTCTTGTATTCATTTGGAACTTAACGTAATTTCGTGTCCTCTACTATGTTCATATGTGTATCCTGAGTACAACTCAATCATCAAACTATTCATATTATTACGTAACTGCATTTTGACAACTGTTTGTTGCAACTCATCACCTTTGTCACCACACTAGTTTCATTATCACCCGATTTTCTTGACTGTTTTTGTTCTACCCAACTCTACCCAAAACTTAATAATTTCCACATATGGTTGAAATAACCATAACCAATTGTAGTTTGTATTACAAACTTAATGTACACATACATTCAAAATAACTGTCATATATATATGCGATTGTACAGCTGTGAAAATGAATTCGCCGAAAAGAGACTCTTCGTTGAACTACATGTTTTGTTTTCATTAAACTCATGTTTCCCTGGGATTCGAACCCGTGTCACCTAGTGACTTAGTTAGAAACAATGTCAGTGCGCTATTCAGGCACCGGACGATCTAGCTTCAAATATCAGGAGGGACATGAGTTGAGTATTAATCTTAGTGAAGAGTGTCAAGACTCTCTTATGCGTTAAGATGAGTCATTTTAAAAGCCTGTCATTTAGTCCTATATGGTTTACATTATGTCAAATTGATTTATTTGTGTTTTGCAGAGTTTCCCTGTATTTCATTTTAATCAAATTTAAGCGTTTATAATTGCATTAATTCATTCCTACTACAACAACAACAACTCCAGTTTATCTGTGATAATGTATGCTTTGGTGAAGTGAATACTATTCACTTAATAATAACGTTAACAGATTATCACTCACCACTTACTTATAGTTCATGCATTTTTTGTTGAAATTGATACTTATTTAAAAATTCCCATTTACGTATTGAGAAAAAATCAACAACAGGTTGAGCGAAGAAATAAATTAATTTACAATTATAGTTCCTCATCATCCACTGGCTCTACACTAATACATATTTGCAAGTATTGGTTTTGTAGGGATTTGGTTTGATTGCATGGAGGGTTTCATCATGAGCTGACATCAGTTAGAGAACCACTGGAAATCCAGCTGGGAGTACTGGACAGCTGTTTCGTCCTAGTTTGGGACTCTTCAGCAGTACGCGCCCAACGGGATTCGAACCCAGGACCTTCTGGTTACGAGGCGAGCTCGTAGACCATTGAGCCACTGGAACCCGATCCAATGGCCCTATTCAGGCAGTTAACCTGGGGTTCTAGTGGGAAGCCGTGACCAGTAGGGTACAGCAGGTCGAAGATGAGGACAGTTACTCACGAAGAAGACATTGCGAAATTGTCGCGCTATGTCGTGAATTGGCAGAAGTTAGAATTCAAGGACCATTGGATCGGGTCCCAGTGGCTCAATGGTCTACGCGCTCGCCTCGTAACCAGAAGGTCCTGGGTTCGAATCCCGTTGGGCGCGTACTGCTAAAGAGTCCCAAACTAGGACGAAACAGCTGTCCAGTACTCCCAGCTGGTTTTCCAGTGGTTCTCTAACTGATGTCAGCTCATGATGAAACCCTCCATGTAATACATATTTGTTTTTTACATCAAAATGTTTTACCAATCAAGTGGTTATTTCAATTAGTCAGTTTCAGGTATAGGCGGAGGTGAAATCAAGAGGTTAAAGGTCATCAAAACAAATAACTAATAGATGTTAGTAACAAGATATCTAAGTTTCTTTTTAAAAAAAAGGGTGGAAATTAATTACGGAATTCAAGATAAGTTGATTCTTAGACGTTGGCGACAAGTTATTACATAATCAGGAAATTTATAAAATAGCAATGATGACTAAGAAAAATAGGATGACTCACTCAGAAGAGTTACGTAAGATACAAACAAACAAGTTAATAGAATTAGCTAGAATTGTAAAAATTGTAAAATTTAACAAAATTATTTGTTTTCACAACATTCATGTGTTTGTTGCATGTATTTAACCTTATGAAGAGATTGTATAAATAAGAAAAATTTGTAGTGAGTATTGAAGCTGATGTGATTGTCTACCGAAATTTATGAACTCGTTAAATCCTGCTTCTTTTTCCACATTTGTTGCTTATTTTAAACATACATAATCACCGGCAGTACGCACCCACTGGATTTCGAAAACAGGACCTTCTGGTTACAAGGCAAATTCGTAGGTCATTCAGTCACTGGGACCCGATTTAACGGCCCATGAAATCTAAATTCTACCAATTCTTGATTTTAGCTCGACTACCAACCAACTGCATTGGTGGGAACTCCATTCTCACTCCCGACTGGACGGATCCCACTGGTCAAAACTTCTCACTAGAACTTCAGGCAACTTCGTCATGTAGAAAGTCACTAGCGAACATCAGATTAATTTTTTCAAGAGTAAATTTATAAAGATTTGATTTGTTTTTCGAGTTAGACTATGGATTGATATCAGTTAGGGAGGGAAGCATTGAAAACCAGAGAGTACTGCTGATGAGTCACAAACCAGGATGAAACAGCTGTCCAGTACTCCTTGACAGTTTTCAATCCTTACAAATCGACTCTTAACAAAAACAATCATAAATAGCACCGAAGATATTGTGAGGAATGTTCATGATTATTGTTCACATTGGAGTTTATTCAGATTGATAGTAATGATAATATGAAAATCAGGCTGTAAAAATTTGGTAGAAGGTTATGTATGTATGTGTGTGTGTGTGTATGTGTATCAGTGTGTTAGTGAATTACTAAGGCTAAATTAAGAAAAGAATATTCTTTTGTTCATTAATTCCAATCTCTTGAAATTTATAATGGGCATTTTAAATCAAGTAAGTTTTTGTGTATATTGAATTTTAATCTTCAAGGTGTTAATAATACCGATTCACTAGTCATTTAATATGTTGTTGTTTTTCTTCTTCTAGAACAACGCTTCTTCATGCTGGTTCTCCGATTAGTTTCAAAGCTATGCTGTTAACTGATCTAGGTGAAGTTTTCACAACACGTGAACAAATGAGAATAGCTATGAAACCAATGGATGATACATGGACGTCTTTTATTGTAAGTCATATGATTTTATCGATTTAAAGTTTTCCACCAATGGTTACCGGAATCTTGTAGTGATTTATGCTGAGCCACAGTGTATGAGGTCCTTGACAGTTGCTTTAAGGGCATGTAGTAGGGTATAGTGTGAACATGGTTTTGGAGTCGTCAGGATGCTAAGAACCTAATGGTTGGAGACTTTCAGGGAATATATTATTATTATTATTGTTCCCTTGGGTTCCTAGTGGAACATAGGGCTTCAACTGCACGTCTCCACTTGCTTCTGTCTTCTGCTGTTCTTTTCACTTGCGTCCATGTTATTCCATACTGTTTCATCTCCTCCTCACACGATCTCCTCCATGTCACCCTTGGACGTCCCACTCGCCGCTTCCCTTTCGGGTTCCACTCGATGGCTTGACGCGCGATGTCACTCAACGGCCTCCTCAGCGAGTGTCCAATCCATCTCCACTTCCTCCTGCATATTTGTTGAGCGATTGGTTCCTGTTTCGTTTGTTCCCATAGCTTCTTGTTTGTGATTCTTTCTGGCCATCTAATCTTCAGTATGGAGCGAAGACAGTTGTTGATAAAGGTCTGCAACCTGTTGAAAATATTCTTGGTGACCCGCCAAGTTTCTGATCCGTAAAGCAAAATTGACTTGACGTTTGTGTTGAAAATCCGAATTTTGTTGTTGATACTGAGTGACGAAGATTTCCAGATTGGTTTCAGGTTGATGAATGTGTTTCTCGCCTGTTTTTTCTATGTTACTATTCCTTCTCCCACATATTTCAGCTCATTAGAGTTATTGTGGATCTCTTGTTTTCTTTCTTCTCGCTACCTTTGTGTTCTGTGTGTGTGTGTGTGTATGGGGGGTGGCAGCTTGAATTGCTACACTTCTGAACAAAGTTCTACGCGGAAACTCGGTCAGTCAAATTGTGCTGAGAAAAAATTGAATAGTAAATCAAGTATTTAAACTAGCGTGGAAATGATGAGTGCTATAAAGTGAAGTAATAGTCGATTATGTTCAGTGTTTTGCCACAAATGGCCGACTGCATTTATCTTGAGTTAAAAGTGTTTATTAGTGGATTTATTATTATTATTATTCACTTGAGTTCCGAGGGGAAAGGAATGCTTCACTAGCAGCACACCTCCATTTCACCCTGTCATCATTGGTCTTTTTTAACAGACTTCACAATTAACTATAAGCTTTTATTTTCTCACATGATATCTCTTCCAAGTCACCCTCAAACAGGTGCCAAGTATGTCGTTTCCCACTTGAGTTTCACTCGAGGTCCTTGTGCTTAATGCCACTCGATGGTCTCCTCAACAAGTTTCCAATTTGGTTCCGTTTCCTTCTGAGTATTTGCTGGACTGTAGGTTCTTGACAGGTTCGCTCCCACTACCATAGTTCCTTGTTGCTTATCGTTTCTGTCTATTTTTTAAATCTTCAATATCGAGCGATGAGAGCAGTTGTTAGTGGGAGTTTGGAGCCTGTTGGAAATCCTTTTGGTGACGTGTCAAGTCTTTGAACCACATAGAAGCACTGATTTAGCCTTGGAATTGAAAATCTGAATCTTGTTCCCTATTCTGAGTCCGAGTGGATAATTTCAGATTAATCAAGATCTGTCTTGGTTTTCCAATCCTAACTGACTGAAATCATCATCTGTGCCACTTGTGGTTGAAACAATACTACCCCAATCCAGTTAAGTGAACGGGGTAACTTCCTCTACAGTGTTTATTAACAACGATGCTTATTGTAACGACATAGCCCATTTACAATGTACACATAAGGACATTTAATTATGGACTGAAAAAATTTCTATGGGTATTTTGTTTGGACCACTTTAGAGTCACCTGTGTAGGTAGTAGATTAGACCACATAAAATTGCTTTTTCGTAGTGTTTATGCTTTGTTTCTACTCGTATCCTAGTAGCTCTACTTTAAACTGAGAGACGTTTAGAGGTGAGTTGTATCATCACCCGATGCTTAGTGTGTAAACATTGAATCATCTACCTACGCCAACTTTAGCGTCATTTAAAATTCTACACAACAATTTAAGGTTGAGAATATATTGTAGTGTTTTATGTTGTTGTTTTTTTGGCGTTACCGAAATATTTTCAATATGAAGCTTCACAATTGATTAGGACATAATTCCGTGGCTACCGTTGCTTGTATATATCTTCATTTTTTGTATTCCCCCTCCCCCGCTTGTTTAAATAGCCATAATCTTGAAGATGAAAAAGGTAATCATTCAAGAGAGCAATTATCTTTTGTCGGCATATGTCGTCCGAGTTCGATTCGCAACCGGCTCACTCAGAAACACTATGGTTGCAGAGGTTATTTCTGTTAGGTAGGAGAGGATGTCTGCGAACCATTTGGCAGTAGCATGATATGCTGAATTTGTCATATCCAAGATTGGACGTAGTGGCACGTTCTCTTTGTGCATTTTTGGCAGACCATATAAACGGGGAATCATGGAACCTGAGAGTCGTTCGTATTTGCTGAAATAATTCAGAGCCGATAATCGATTCGTTCTTCATCCTCTTCAGCATTTGTGTTATCTCTCTCCTTCAATCTGTTCCGTTTGGTGTTTATGGCTACTTTGTTTTGAAAATTTGTTTTCACCTGACATGACGGATAACATCTTATCGATGTTGTCTTGGCGATCCATCAAGACAATGCCAACATTACATCGATAGAATGTTATCCGTCATGTCAGATGAAAACAAATTTTCAAAAGAAAGTAGCCTTAAATACCAAACGGAACAGATTGAAGGAGAGAGATAACACAAATGCTGAAGAGGATGAAGAACGAATCGATTATCGGCTCTGAATTATTTCAGCAAATACGAACGACTCTCAGGTTCCATGATTCCCCGTTTATATGGTCTGCCGAAAGTGTACAAAGAGAATGTACCAGTCACTGCGACCAATCTTGGACATGACAAATTCGCGATATCATGCTACTGCCAAATAGCTCGCAGACATCCTCTCCTACCTATCACTCAGAAACCTTACTTAACCGGTAGTAAGTCCAGTGAAGAAGGAAAGTTGAACGTGAAGCTAGCAATCTCAACTTGTAAAAACGACTAATGCCACAACTACTGAAGCCTCAAAGTTTTCTTGAGCTTTAAAGACTCAATATTCCGCTGGATTGGAATGGAAAATAAAAATAAAAGACGGATTCAGCATGAAGTCCATTGAGGCCCCGAATTCGAAGAGGGAATTGAGACAGTTTTTGGGGAGGGCAGCGTTCTATAGTCGGTTCATGAAAAGCTTCAACAAGGTAGTGGCTATTAGGCGAGTCAAAGTTTGTCTGGTCGAAAGACTCGCAGAGGGTATTCGACCACATTAAATAGCTGACGGATCACCAGAGAATGACGCTTTGACTACTGCTGCCGGGAAAGCCGTTCATATTGTCTACGGATGCCAGAGACTACGGAATAGGCGCAGTACTCAGACAGGGTGACTGGGTCATCGAATACGCCAGCCATGTTTTACTACATACGGAACAGAAGTATTCAACAATAAAGAAGAGATGTTTGGCGATTGTGTGGGTGTTAGAAAAATGGAGACCCTATTCACTTGGTCACCGTTTCCACGTAGAGACTGATCATAAGCTGTTGCAGTGGCTGATAACCGCCAGAGACCCACGTGGGAAGTTGTCATGGTGGATGTTGAGTCTCCAGGACTATTGTTGTGGTGCTATATTTGACCAAACTAGCGTACATGTATATCCTAGTACTTCTTCGCGTTTATTATTGTGTCCTAACGTTGTGATGACTCGACCTGAGAATGAGTACGAACGTGAGTACAAATATATCAATTGTTAACACGCAAACTTTAGAGTGATAAACAAATCAAAGTCCAATTACATAATGAAAGTATATTACGATGATGAATTAATAAAATGGGTCACTACAGTATGATTTCACGATCACTCATGTTCAAGGAGAAGAGAACTTGTTCCGAGATATTTTGTCTAGAACAGAAGAAGTAGAGTTACCTGAGATAGCATATGGTGTAAATGTTTTGGAGCAAGACTTATCCAGAGTCAAAGATTGGATGACACCCTGCAAACTGTCATACAAATGATTACTAAAGCAAAAAAGGTGAATTACCAAACAGCGAATCGTGAGTTGAATCTCCTACTCAAACAGAAAGACCGGCTAAGCTTGAATGCCTGCGGAATGTTGACGTGGCAGGAGGATGACGGAAGCTGCTTAGCAGTAATACCCCTAATGCCTGCGCCAAGAGATGATACAAGAATGTCACCAACTAGCGCACACAGGTGTTGCCAGAACGAACAATCTCCTGCGACAAAGCATGTACTGGCCAGGTACGAGATAAGACGTTGAGAAGTACGTAACAGCGTGTACGCAATGTCAGCTGATGAAAGGTGATCAGTACATACGACGGTCACCTCAGTTGATTCCAGTGACAGAAGTAGGCGACCTGTGGTCCGTAGATGTAATGGGACCTTTTCCACAAACGTCCAATGGCAATCAATATCTTCTGGTCATGACAGAACAATGGACACGATGGCTAGATGCAGTCGCGATCCCTGATCAACGAGCGAAAACGGTGACAGAAGCAGTGAATCGACATGTCGTTGCAAACCACGGTGTGCCAAAAGCGATATTGACAGACCAAAGTTCGTGTTTTGAAAGCGAAGAGTTTAAAGTTCGGTTGCAAGAGTTAGGTATCAAGAAAATTAGAACAACGCCATATCATCCACAAAGGAACGGCTTGACGGAGAGAAATAACTGCACCCTGAAAGAGTTGCTGGCCACAAAGAGAAGTAACTGGGAGACAGAGCTCACACTGGTTCTGCTAGCGCATCGTTCGTCCTCTCAAGACACGACGAAGAAATCACCATTTCAATTGATGTATGGGAGAAAACCACGACTACCGATACATAACAAGACCTTGCCCCACCACCAGCAGTGGAGTATGACGAGATGGTGGACGGAGCGGAAAGACGCCACCAACAATGTAGACGCTGTGAAATTCGAACAGAGGGTAAAGTGGAAGTACCCATCATTTGAGATCGGAGATCAAGTTAAATGTAGAGATAGGCGAAACACCAGCGAATACTCTCCAGGGTCACGAAAACTTCTTCCAAAGTGGGAAGGACCATACATGGTCACTGCGAGACGGGATCAGGTATACATCACCAAAAGTGCAAACAAAGAGAAGCTGGTGAACGTCAGCGAGCTCCAGAAATGTATAGAGCTAGACAAGCAAACGAAGACGCCAGCACTAAGAAAACCCAGTCGACTTCAGTCTAAACTATTTAACGGTGGAACAAGTGTGGTGATGTGATACAGACGATGTGTGACAACAGAATATTATGCTCACATATTCCCACAGTCCAATACTGCATTAGCAACAGAATGCGATATATCTATTTGAACATTCTGTTTGGTGTTAGAGACAGAATAATTACCCTACGGTTATATACTGCATTAACAACGGAATACTATGTATATTTGAACATTCCATTTCATGTCGTCTGATGTAAACCGAAGTCACACGCTCAGTGATTGGTTAAAGGATATAAACTGTATATATACAAACAGTGGTTTGATCAATGAAAAATATACCTTTGCTTCCGTGCTTTGCCTTCTTCTGTTACAACATTACCTTTATAAACTCCTTCAAGTTGATGTTGAAAGGGAAATGTCACCTATCTAAGACGATCCGCCCTCACAACCTTAACATTGCTGAATTTCTTGGTATCCGGATGGAGAAGTCGGAGTTTTGGATACAGAAGAAAATCTTTCATCCACTTCTGTTATCATTGCAAGAACGCTATTATTTTAAGCCCAACTGTTTGACTTATTTTATTCCTCCGACGGTTTCCAACTCAAATATCCTCACGAACTCTTAGATCACATAAAAGATTTCCTTTGTTTCTATGTGCACCTTGTTCACAGTGAACTAGTTAGGTTACTTATCTCATAACGTAACTCTACTACCCTTATTCAACCGCTCACATATGTGTTGATCAACAACTCTTATGATGACTCATTCCTCTCTTACTATCCACGAGAGAAAATTGAATATAGATGTGACTGTACAGCTAAAAGGAATGCATTCGTCAAAAACAAACTCTTCCCTGAACAAATTATCTTGTTTTATTAATGCTCGGATGGGAATTATTCATGAATACATACATATAATACCCCAAAATCCACTAAACAGAACTTCCATGGAAATCTGGAAATTCTATTCATCTACTCCTACTTACTCCTTTAATTCTGGTCTCTACAGTGTTGTTATGTTTAAGCGAAGTTGTTTGAACGCTGAAATCTGTTGGAGCTTAGTTTTTACCGTCCAACCTTTATGGACATATTCCGCAAATAGCACTCAATATACATTTGTGTACAAAAATGGGTACAAATCTTACAATTTGAACAAAAGAGGAGTAGAAAAAGTTATGAAATGAAAATGAAAACACTCTTCTACTCCCACAAATAAATACAGATTCCTTCTAGCTTCGTTCAACTTAATCAAAGGAGTCCGGTGTGTGTATGGATTACTGCTACAATGCCTACAAATCTAATTCCATGCCTACAAATCTATGCTGTAGGAACAATTGGTAAACCAAAACAACAAGTCCGAATAAAAAAGTATCTTTTATTTCTCAACACTTTCAGATTTTTGTTTTTCTTTGTGCATAGACCGATAGTATTCCTTCATAGTTATACCAGCCGCTAGGAGACGTGATTTGAATAGTGCTTTTGAATCTTGCTTTTGGGATTTATTATTGCGCGTTTTGTTCATTTTCTCTTTCGGTTTCTTTACATCACCAGTATCTTCAGTTGGAGTTTGTTCAGCTGGGTTGCTAAGGTTGTTCTTGTTGTTGTCGTCAACGTTGTTGACGCCCGGCGTCTCAGTCACTTGAATTTCGGAAGTGGTTTTCTTCTTTTTCCTGCGACGTTTATTTTTTTTCTTCGGCGGCTCACTATTCAATGAATATATACAGAAGATAATGGAATGAAATGGCAACAAAACAAAAAAATCCAAATAGTTGTGTAAATAAAAAAAACACCTTACGAAGTGTATTTTTGAGATATGCAAAAGGTGACTATGGTAGTGTGTATGTACAGTGGAATGTCTCTACAGCAATAAGTGTGGTGCTATATATTCATGAACTGGCAAAAATTAGGATTTATTGATGTGTTAGTGGACCCGCTTCTTAACCTGAAGGTGTTGGCTTCGATCCCGCCCATAGGGGCGGGTCATGGATGCATTCTGCTGAATAGACCCAAACTAGGATGAACTAACACTGTCCAGTACTTCCTGATTTCCACTGGTTTTCTAACTATCTAATGTCAGTTCGTGATCACACTTGGAATGAATTATTTATCATGATTTCATTTTATTCCTTTACGTTCCTAGTGGAACATACGGCTTCAAGCTTGAGTATTGAAGTTTCGGTAGCAGTGATGTTTATTTTTACGGGTTGGGTTTACTAGCCCCATGTCCAACCATCCTTCTTTACTGGGCCTATTACCGGCTTAAAGACGTTTAGGAGTGCGTCAGCCGTGGACCACATGAGGCGTGGTTGTCGAGCTTTCTACCGTTGAACTACTGAGGCACTGGAATCAATTATATCCCTGCAAACCAACACTTGGGAAATACTAATTCTTTTATTTTGATTATAGCTTGATTCCACACCGTATTTTTGGTACAAGTATGGAATTTTCAGCATGTGATATCGGTAGCCCAAATTTCGCGGGCCGACCACTGATATCAGGTGTGCATTGGCAGGGGATCGAACCCCGGATTATGTCCATGGTCGGCGAGAGTCCTAACCGCTGTACTACCGACGCACAAAAAATTCATATGTAAATACTGTACTGGAGAAAAGCACGGAAATCTTAGTAGATGCAAAGTATGAACTTGAAATGAGGCAACTTTGAAGTTACATCAGCGCATTGCACTGCTAACAATGGATAAGAACATTAAACTAGTGTTTACACCAATAAAGCAGTGTCCTGAAAAAAGAATTACAACCTCGAATGTTAAAGGTCATTATGGCAAAACACACACAAGCAATATGCCTATGGTTAGTTTCAGGACAGAGTTGACAATCATAGTAATATTAGATGGAGGATTTCGTCATGAGCTGACATCAGTTAGAGAACCACTGGAAAACCTGGGAGTACTGGAGAGCTGTTTGCTCAGCCTAGTTTAGGACTCTTCAACAGTATGCACCCACCGGGGTTCGAACCCAGGACCTTCTGGTTACAAGGTGAGCTCGTAGACCATTGAGCCACTGGGACCCAGTACTACCAGTTGGTTTTCCAATGGTTCTCTAACTTATGTCAGCTCATGATGAAGTCCTCCATCCAATCAAACAAAATCCCTACAAAACCAATACTTGAAAATCATAGTAATAGTATGCAAGCAAAAGCTTCAGTCATTCTCCTAGTACACACCTGAAAGCAAATACTTAGACAGAGACAAAATGCGACAACAAAGATGAGATTCAAAGTGTATTCAACAAAACAATTTTTTAGGTTGGTAAAGTCACTGAGATGACGTGGACATGAAATCACTTCATTGTGAATTATTATTGTACAGCATCTTTGGATCATGCAGTAATAATTACAGGCAGACTACTAGTGTTCTATTATACGACTTTAACTCGTTGTCAGCCAAATGGCCTACTTTATATATATAAAGAATTCAGGTTGCAGGTTTCCTTTTTAACTCATGTGCACCCTATAACAAGGCTATCAGCGGGGTGGGGGGCGGGTTGGGAACTTCTCAGAAAACGATGTCCTATTATTTGCCTAATTATTTAATGACTTTCTGAAGTGACTAGTGCAATGAAACTTCACTACTAGACACGTGATAAATTAAAACAGAAATAGATAAATAGTGTTGTTTCATCTGTTTTCATCATTAAATACTCCTGGAAACTAAATAATTTCAACCACAGAAACATCTGAAAGGAAGATTAGACTATTCAAACAACAAACTAGCATGCTTCTGATTGGTATTTATTCCAAGGTAAGTAAAGTGACTCAGTAGACTCTGTTATTGGGTTCCCAGAGGAACATAGGTTCATCCCTAGAGTTCCTTGTTGTTTATTCCCCTCCTGACCGGCCATTTGATCTGCAGTGTGAAACGAAAGTCTGAGGCTGTTGGAAAGGGTTTTGTAACGTGCCAAGTCTCTGAACCATATGGAAGAACTGACATTTGTGTTATAAATGTGGATGTTATCCGAGTAATGAACTCCCGTCTTGCTGTCGCGGCATGATCATGACCGCTTGACTCTGACATCTTCATCCAGTTCAATGAATAAAAGAGGTGATTTTCTTCAAACTTCTACCACTGTTGCTTATTAATCAGGTGGTCTCTGTCGCCTCTTCTGCCAAATTGTTGGTTCTTATCTATAGATCGTCGAGTTTGTAGGATATTAAGACCTAAATTATCTGCGAAGTTCAGATCTCCGTTTTCTTACCGGTCTGAAGTATGTCTATTCTTCTTGCTCACCACAGTCTGTTGAATGATCCAGCCCGACATAATCAGGAATATCATCGATGATAGAAGACAGACTTGTCTTACCGCCGTCTTCACATCAAACTCTTCGCTTAGCTTTCCTTGTTAATCACTTAACATGTGTCCTCATCATATAGCCGCCGAATGAGCTTTATAAAGGTTTGAAGTAGTGTACTCTATAATGTTAAGGCAGTTTCCAAAATAGATGAAGTTGAGTTTAACGAGGTAGCCCTTCTTTCGATTCGAAGGTACCTTTTATCCTTCCAAACCTTGTGAACACATCTGTTGCGATCTCTGGATCCATTTTAAGTTGTTCCGAAGGAATCTTATCGGGCATTGCTAATTTTCCGGCTTTCATTAACTTTATGGCTTTCAAGACTTCTGCTTTTGTTCGAGGATTGGTGTCCACTGGCAGCTATCTATGACTGTTAGTGGTATTTGTGGATGAGTTGCAGGTGCTGGCAGATTCGAGAGTCTTTTGAAGTGATCGGCCCAGTTTTTTTCTTTGTCTCTCCTCTTTGGTAATCGGGTTTCCTTCATTATCTTTCATTGGTCTCATCTGTGTTGATGTCTTCCTAGATAGCGACCTGGTTATCTGATGTGATGTTCTGAGGTCTCTCTTACCTTTGGCGTGTCCTGCTTTAGTTGCAGGAGTGTCGTAGAACTGTCTTGTGTCTTTCCTAGCATTCTTCTTCACTTATTTGTTCAGTGAAATGTAGATTGACTTCAGCCTCTCCCAACGTTGTTCATCGCTACTCTAGTTAAACCTCTATTGTACCATCTTTCTCTCCTCTATTAGATTGTACGCGACTGTACAGAGCTATTCCCTGTCTAACCTATTCTTTCTTCTCTAAGAGGGTTATACAGGTCCTCTTGCACATCACTTTCATAGAGTTTCAGTGTCCCTCCACACAAGTTCCCCAACATTTCCTTGGCAAATAAAGTGAAAGAGTCCTTTGTAGTTACGTCCTTCTGTTTATGGGTGGTGAACTTCAATTGTGTTCAGTCTCCGGCATCCTTGAAAGCTTTCAACTCCATGTTGAAATTTTCAGTGAGATGGAACTTAACCTTCTTCTAGATATCCTTATACTGCCTTCAATCACCGAATCATTGAAGATAATGAAGTTTTCAAAGGGTTTTTCGTTCTCATTCATTCACTACGCCGATAGCCTCCCAACCTACGATAAGTCCCCTTCCAGCGTTGTTTGCACCCAGTCTAGCATTCAAATCACCCATGAGGATTTGGATGTCTCTATTTGGGATCTCATCCATTACTGTCTGCGGTTGTCTATAGAAATCTTCTTTCTTCCCTTGTTTTGAGTTGTTTATGGGCGCCTAGCATCGGATAATTGTAATTTTTCTTCGTTTTGAGTTGAATCTTGTTGTTATTATCCCGGAGCAGATTGGTCACCAGCAACTGAACTGAACTAGTAAACTAGGAGATGCTAGTAGAGACCATCGGGAATAATAATAATGAACAGAAATGGGGACATTACTAGTTCAAAATGAAACGTTAATAATTGGTGAAGTCAAGGTGGCTAGAGCTGTATAACCCAGAACAACTGATACCCGTTGAAAAAAAGAGAGGTGACTCTCATGGCCCAAGTGGGGTCTAGTGGATAACGCTTTAGCGTCTGAAACGATGGGTGCTTGGTTCGAGTCTCAAAAGGAACACCATCATCGTCAATTAAGATACAAGTTAATCTAGCCAACAAGTACCATATCGGCTGAAACACATACCTTAGATTCTACTGCAATATATTAACGACGAAATAGCTTAGGGTGAATCGTTTTGTTCGACTGAAGGCATTTTTTTCCTTCACGTTCCCCAGTGAAACATAGGGCTTCAAGCTAGTGGCTTGAAGTTTCTGTAGCAGTGTTTATTTTACAGGATGGGGTTGCTAGCCTCATGCCCAACCTTTCCTCTTCACCAGTATTATTTCTGGCTTAGCGAGGTAAAGGAGTGCGTCGGCCGGGGATCGAACCCCGGACCATGTGCATGGTCGGCGAGCGTCCTAACCATGCATACATTTCAAAACATTGTTTACAAACAAATTAACGAAATTTCAGTTCTCAATTTGAAGACACTGAATAATCGGTTAAGAAGACCATGAAATACAGAGTGAAAATGTTCCCCAAAATAGGGTACTTCGTAGTCGATCAGTTAGCTGTATCATTTTAGTCAACAACTCTTCTCCAGTGAATGAACACTTGGAACCCTAAGACTTACCTAACTTAAAGCTACCACATGGAGCTATTGTGCATTGTACTCCATTCATTCACTCATGGTTGTTAATCCCAGATAATTCACTACACAGCTTCACTAACAACCGATGAGTAACCATCACCACTTGTGGATTGTGTTGATCAAGAACTACTATCAAACCACTGGTAGATATGTCTCAAATTTAGTCATTAGTGGGAAATAAATTGCTTCCAAGATCAAGAACAGCTATTCAGTACGCTATAGTTTTCATCAATTCATTTAAACGATTTTAGTTGGTGGGAAAATCAATCAAAAATGTTGCTATGGTGAAATAACTTCATGAGAAATGAATAACTTTCAAAAGTTAGTTTGTAGGGATCTAATTTCTTCCAAGTTTGATCACGGATTGATATCCAGTTAGAGAACCACAGAAAACTAGTACGGAGTATTGGGCGGCTGTTTCGTCCGCCTAGTTTGGGACCCATCGGCAGTACGCACTCACCTCCAGGGTTCGAACCCAGGACCTTCTGGTTACAAGGCAAGCTCGTATACCATTCAGCCACTGGGACCTGACTCAGTGGTCGGCCCATGAATTCTAACTTCCACAAATTCGTGACGATTTCAGCGCAACTGGCACCAACCAATGTCATCGGCGGTGAGTATTTGTCCTCACCCTCAAACCGGATGGATGGACCCCAGTGGTCATGACTTCTCACTAGAACTCCCTCCATGCAAATTCAGCCTGAAGCAAGTCTCTACCGAGCATCAGAACCTTACTGGGTGCGTGCACTGTAAAATGTTAGTTACTAGAGTTAATCAAACACGAGTTAATTAATATATCAAACATAAAATTAATTGATAAAATTCTAACCTTTGATCAGCATCGCCACCAGCTTTTTCATTAGGCCACCATGTAACTTCAGGATTATTTAGAGAGGTGAGAATACGACTTTTACGATGCATTTGATATTGAGAATTATAATAGTCTTTGTCCTTCATTTCTTCTTCATTTGACCTAAATAGGGAGACAAAAAAGAAACCCCATTAATATGAAAGGCACTGAAAGTATAAGTCGTTTTGTTATCAAACTGTCAGAGTTGTATACATACATAGCTAATGAATAAAAATACACTGATCAATAACAATGAACACTTCTGAACTGCTGCTAGCTGGAGACAGTAGATACAAACCCCTGGAGCGATGGTCAAAAACTCAGAGGATGTGCGGCGACTCTGTATTCAATCATCGGTGTTTCCGTAGAATTGCTTGCATCTGGTGGCATCATCATGTGAGTAATTCTGAGGTCCAACAGTGTGTGTTTAGACACGATAGACATCACCAGTCATAGAGTGTAGTTACCTTGAAATACCAGCGTCAGTAGCTTGGAGATGTAACATCCCAGAGGCTCCTGTACCGGCTGCTGTTCACCAGCCCTGGGATTGGATGGAAAAAGTGGAGAGGCGGTCAGTCCGTGAAGTGGCGTCTTGGGATGAAGGATATTTGTCTTAGGTTAGCATCAGTTAGTGCATCACAACTCTATGGTCGGGGTCCGAGAGATAACTTGAATCTGTGACTCGAAATGTTATCATCAGATATGGCCAAGAATCGCAATCAGTGGTGAAGAAGAGATGAATGTTTAACTCTCCTGACAAGTATGGTTTCACTCGTTCTCTTTATATACTGCCGTTGTATTATTTTTGTGTGGCACGTCGCTTAATGCTTATATCGTACCAAGTTTGTATTTTGTGTTTACTGAGATTCGAAGCCGTGTCGCCTACTCTGTTTGTTTTGATAAACAAAGACGTCACCACTAAGTTGTTTGATCATTTAGTACACAGGAGAACAGAACACAGCAATTATTATCTTAAGGTGACTAGTCGTTGTAGTTTCTCATTACAGGATTCCGCCATGAGCTGACATCATTTGGAAGGGAACCACTGAGTTCCGACTTCTACCAATTCGCGCATGATATAGCACTATCACCGACCTGCTTATATCGTGTCAGCGGAGAGTATGTGTCCTCACACCCAACTGGCTGTACCCCACTGGTCACGACTTCCCACTAGAACTCAGGCAAATACCTACCTGAATAGAGTCAGTCGCTAGTGAGCATCAGATTGCTATTCACGTGTTGCTTTGTAGGGATTTTTCTGGTCACAGGATTTCATCATGAGCTGATATCAGTTAGAGAACCATTGGAAAACTAGGGAGTACTGGACACCTGTTTCGTCTACCTAGTTTGGGACCCTTCATCAGTACGCACCTACCCCACTGAGGTTCGAACCCATGGCCTTCCAGTTACAAGGCAAGCTCATAGACCATTAAATCACTGAGACCCTGTCCAATGGCCCATGACAGTTATAAAAGTTGTCTTCTTGAAGAGAAGAAGAGAACTCCACGTAATATACAGCTTTGGGAAGAAAAGTACTCTTCCTAGTCAGTTCACTTTTTTATCGCTATATAACTTTTGCCACCTTCTAAGAACTTCTGTAACGATAGTTTACGTGCTTTTTGAAGTAATCTTCCGAATATTATTTGTAGAAAAGTAGTAAAAGTTAGTTTTTAATATAAAAAAAACACGGAGCGATAAGCCAAAAAGGAAATAAGTAAGCAAGCAGGCTAACAAACAAACACACAAAGAAGTGTTTATACCATGCTATACACTTACAAATAGGCTGTGGCGCGTTTCAATGATACCCATGCATTCAATTCTTTAGTGGAAGCTTTCAAAATTTCTTCCGCGCTTAAACCATAGTCATTTGGTACTACATCACGATATTTGAAACGACAGTAGATATCTTCATCACCATTCGGACCAGGTATAATATCCTCACAATGCAACTGATAAAACTCTTCAAAGTATTTCTACAATTTTAGAAGATACATAAATAAGCATACACAGAGGTATATTATAATCGTACAAATAACTGACTGACAGACTTGTTTCAACATACAACTTTACAAAGAAGAAGTGCAGCAGTTCAAGCTGCAACATTTCATGAAGTACACAAAGGAGGATAAAAGCGAAGAAAAAGGATTCGAAAGAACGATAATTGAGCAGGAATGTGAGGAAGAAAGAAAAACAACAGGATTTTCTTTTGGGGAGTATGGCAGATCACAGAGAGTGAATGAATCTGCGCAATTGAGCAGGATGATTTTGAGTCATATTACCAATTGTCTCCAGTCACTGGTTTCTAACCCCCCCCCCCCGAAGACCCCAACCATGTGGGTAGTAGTCTACATCTCCCTATGTGGCTCAAACTAACTGTTAAAGACTTCGTGAACTGACGCCGTGTTTTCATTTGACCACACAAACTGAAGAATCAAGAAAAACGCATTTTCACTGAACCTAATAATTTGTCGTCAACACCTTTCTATGAGGCATTCTGATGAATGTAACTGGGATGCAAAAAACCCACACTACTAGGAGTAACTTGGCACAACAAATTTACCCCATAGCGTTGTATGGATTGATTTAGACCTGCAATATTTCACGGACTGATTTAGTTGTCAACAATCTGAGGTCCTTGTAATCAGATTATTCAAGTCAAACAAGCAGTCACATCCGACTATCCGAAAATCCGTCTGGTTAGAGACCAACCATGTATCTGTTACCTCTAGGTCAAGATCGTGAATATTTATACGACTGATAACACCAGAAAATGCCAGCGAATTGTCACTGATTCATTCTGAACAAGATGTCTACACTGTGAACAGAATTCTCAGTCATTTTTATTGCGTAATATTTTCTCTCTTTATCCATGATATTCAAGTAAAATGGCAACCTATAGTATATCACATGACGCAATACGGTTCTCTGTCTGAAGCATTAATTAGCATAGACCAATAAATCCATGATGATATTTTTCTTTCGTCTCTGAGCAATGAGCGTCAGTAGTTTGAAAGCCAATCAGAGGTGAGTGTGAGTACATTTTGAGACTCAAGAACATAACTAAATGGTTAAGACAATAAGTATTAGAGAAATGGAAATTCAGGGCAAAGGATAACCGTACACATCAGCTGACTGGTGCAGAAGTTAGCTATTATCGTGATGTTGTATTTTGGTTGTTGTTTTGACGTTGTTTTCAGCAGTTTTTCTTCCGCCAGCTGAAATGCGTTTAAAATATCGTCTTTTTATCCGAAGAATTTGTAAAAATGGAGAAAAATATGTTTTTTTCAACCTGTTGTCGCCACGCCTAGTTTTCCATCGAAATGACACTGCTGCAGTGCATGCAGAGTGTCAAAATCCACTTTAATTTGCTAATTATGGTAAGAAATATCAAATAATTGACATGAATGAAACACATTTTCCCAAATGAAGAATGAATTGTGTTAAACATCGTGGGTACGAAAATTACATGATACGTTTAAGATTTTACAACGAGAAAAGAAAATCTATTCGATTGATCAGTGAGATAACAACAGAGAGACGGTCGTTTAATCAAAAGGTACTGCGTTTTACACCATTTATTTACTAGCAACAATTTTTTAACAGAAGTATTATTAATTATTTAATTCAATTTAGATCATCCCTTCGTTTGATTGGAACGAAGTGCTCGGTCTCAGGTTGATATGTCGACTCCTTGTGCAGATGGTTTGGCAACGTCTAGTCATGTAAATTGAAGTCAACTGTTGGATGGTGACTAGCAGTGCAGAATCTAGAATGCGCATTCCGTCCCATTCGTGGCTCATCATACGAATGTACCTGCATTCCCCTGTGAGTGGTGGTATTCCCACTGAGACTCGAACCCAGTGCCCAGTTCAATCAATCGACGGGAAAACCTAAATTGAATTAAATCAATAATAAGAGCCGTGGCGCAAGAGTTGGCTCTCGTGTCCCAGGTGGCCTAGTGGACAACGCTTTGGTGTTTGAAACTGTGGGCACTGTACACAATCTACATAAATGACCTTCAAGTGCTCAGACTCTCCACAAAGCAGTGTGTGCCTCTACGCATTGCCGAAATTCAACTAGCCTAGTCATTCAAGGAGCCCGCCCCACTTTTACTTTATATCTGGGTAGTTTATCGATCCTATAATTGGTTATGAAAAACAAATTTTCAGAATGATGAGTGACGAAACATTTTTAGCTTAGTAAGAAAAAAAGTCTCATCATATTATGTGAAGGATAATGCACATAGCGAGAATATCTTTACCCGTTAATAAATTTTGAGCGAAAACACAAACAAAAACAACAAATGTAGCGTGGTAATGTGAGCTAACAAATGAACAATAATCAAAATATCTAAACATTACGAAAAAAAGTTAGAACGCAAACTTTACCTAGTTGACAAGACACCTCATAGGTAAGGAGAACTGCAAATAACGGCGACCTGTTTAAAACTTCGGCTACTGGAACAAACCTCTATCAATACATATATTGCATATAATTCCTCCTATTCAATTTGTTTAAATCTAGTAAAATATGACTTATAATAAATAGTATTGTTTACTCTGGCGAGTATTTAAAACATTTACAACCTGCTGATTCGCGAGTTTCTACTAAGCATGAGAAGAAGCATCATCCTTGATGGATGGCAGCCTGCTCCAATACATGAGATGACTGTTCCTCAGTGGTGTCATTGGCTTACAAATTCACAATTCAATCTGCACCAAACAAAAGACTAGACATATTACACTAGTTACTGGCTAGCTAGTTTCCAATCAAAAGTATCCGCTACAGTCCTAGAGGAGGTCATTCGCGAGCCCGAATACCTCAATGGTAAAGTCTCTGACTGCAGCACTAGCTGGGTAGGTGGACACGGGTTGGAATCTCAAAAGGGACATGAGTTCCTTCAAAGTTGCAGATACGCCTTTCTGACTGGTGAGTGCCAACAAGCACGAAACCTATATTACGTAGGGCTTCCTACCGATTACCTCCAACCGTCTAATATCAACGAGGTGTTCTTGTGTGAAAATCTAGGCAATATTCTACTGATATGGTCTATGTACTTAGCTCCACAGCACCAAGTGAATTGATGGTGTCAGCGCAATGGGAGATTATCTTTGACATTTTATTGAATAGGATGTAACGTGGAGAAGGTAAAACGCAAAGATTTAGCGAAATGAGTATTACAATCTTACAAATAACTTCTTCTTTGCTACTTCTATCTTTCACAGATTATCAATCTTATTTTTTCCACATAGAATTGCTGAATATCGGTGAACAACCATTCTGAATCAGAGTAATTCAGAAGAACACCAGTCCTTTACCTTAAATGTCTCTATCCTGCATATGAGACAAATTCACATTGTACGTAGAGATTTGATGAGGTTTCTTTTTCCAACTTATTAGAGCAACAAAGCTGCTGAAGTTAAGTTAGCCAACCGTTACAGTTTGTAGAACACACTATTCAACTGTACAGCTTTGATGATAACTGTCTTAACAAACTGTTCAATAATTCAGTGTTAATTATACGATACAGGTGATGAAGCATAAAATTGAACATCATCAGTGGTGAAAAGAACTACGGGGTGCCACCGACAATTATACATCTCAGCTAACAGCTGTACGACAATGCTGCATGGCAAGTAATCCACAACGGGAAACTTACGGAGTCATTCTAAGTGAGGACAGGAGTAAGACAAGCTGGCTGCCCACTATCGCCAATGATTTTCCTGATTGCAGTAGACTGGATAATGCGATAAACAGCGGGCAATGAGGAAACAGGCATAAAATGGACTCACACAAAAAACTTGGAGGATCTGGACTTCGCCGATGATATATGTGTCTGATTTCCCACAAACTGGAAGATATGCAAGCGAAAAGCAATAAGTTGGCAGAAGAAGCATCCAGAGAATATAGGACTTCAGGTGAACATAGAGAAAACAGAGGTAATGAATATTCCTGGACAAGAATAACAACAACAGACAACGATCAGCATAAATGGGAGGAACCTGAAAGAAACAACCTCCATCACCTACCGACCTGGGAAGCATCGTTTCAACTACAGGCAGACAGAACTGACGAGGATATCAAAGCAAGAATCGGAAAAGCAAGACAAGCTTTCATTACTCTCAAGTCTGTGTGGAGGTCAACAGCACTACTCAGCATGAAAAGTGAGATCCGGATTTTCAACTCCAATGTGAAGTCAGTGCTACTATACGGATCAGAGACTTGCACTGCGCGTCATAAAGAGCATCTCAAACAAACTACAGACCTTCATTAACAGTTGTCTTCGCTCAATACTACTCAAGATCAGATGGCCGGCCAGAGTTGATAAGCAACAGAGATCTCTGGCAATGAGCGAACCAACCAGGAACCGATTGTGAAACAAATAGGCAGGAAGAAATGGAGATGAACTGGCTGGCCATACTCTGAGGAAAGCATTAAGTGACATCACTAGACAAGCCCTCGAGTGGAACCCGAATGGGAAGCGGCGAGTTGGTCGTCAGTGCAAGGGTGACTTGGAGGAGGTCATGTGAAGAGGAGATGAAGGCGTGTGGACAGACTTGGAGCCAGGTGAAGACTCTAGCAGAGAACCGAACGCAATGGAGACGCACGACTGAAGCCCTATGTTCCTCTAGGAATTTAAGGAAATAATAATAATATATAATAAGTAGTGAAAAAAGACTTCGATTTAGTGACTTTATTACTAACCTCATAGTCTGGATAATTATCTGGATCGAAGACTGGTTTATTTCTCTCCAGGGCTTCATGTAGTCTCCGTTTGCCACGTCTTGATTTATTATTATTGATGTGGCTGGCGCTAGTTTCTGTTATAGCGGATAATGTTTTGGATAAATTATAACCGTTAGACTGTTTCTTCTGTGATAATTCTTCGCCTTCGCCTTCTCCTTCTTCTCGCATATCGATATCATGCGAATCAGATGGATCCTAAGTAAATTGAAAAAAAGGATGTGTATTAAATTACAATGGCAGGGTAGAATAGTTCAAATTTCATTTTTGCCGATACTGTATATCAGTAAATATGAAAGTGTATAAAGATAACAATCTCACCTACTTTACTAGCCGGTCTCAAGCCCGGGTAGAGAGGGACGGGGGTTAGGAGTGGGGCCAGCACCCTACACCTCAAAACCAATCAAACTGCTACAGAAACTTCAACGCACAAGAAATATATTAAAAATACAGAAAATATTTTCAAAAACAACTTATTCTTCGCTGGAATTGAAGAGGCGAAATGACGTGGGCTGGTGAAAGCCTTTGGGAAGCCAGTCAACCGATGTGGGAAGCCTGCCCAGGTGGAACATAGGGCTTCAAGCATGAGCACCAAAGTTCCAGTAGCCATGGTGTTATTTACACAGGGGGAGGTTGCTAGCCTCATGTCTAACCTTCCCTTTCCGTTAGGATTATAACTCAGCTAAGAGAGGTTAAGGTACTTTACAGTGATCTGTTTTCGAAATTCAGTGTCTCTACGTATCATACAAGAGATTGTCATTTCAGTAAACAATAATCCGTCAAAAACTAGCCCGAGAAACAACTGATTGGTTGGTAATATATATAATCTTTTATTTCCCCCTAATAGTACTATGTACTTTGACTGTATGCAGACAGATAGTGACAGCAGCTGTGTAACGACAGAGTAAAATAAATGGTAATCAGAAGAAAAAGGGCGACAGCATAGGGAGCAAAATAATCAACGCTTCTTAACGGATTAGATAATACAATTTAGCAGACACCAAAACAATTTAATTTATCGATGAAGTTTAAAGAAACAGAAACCAGTCCTCCTTGACTTATGGATCTCAGTTTGAAAAACTAACAGTTATTATCTGTTTTAAACTAAACACCACTAACTACACGGGACAGATTTTGCGCTATAGGGCCGACCACCGGCGATGGCTATTGTCCAGTTTAATCCTGCTTCACTTGACAAAGAATTTTGGATAGTGAGGTAAGCAGATATATGTCCATAGCTTATGTACAAACCCATTCAAACGGTAAAGGTCTATAAACCCGTTTAAAACCTTCTGTCTTGAACTCTTCGACTAATTACTGTATTGATCAAGTGGTGTTATGCAGACAACGCTGATTCTGCATATTTGGGAGGAATCGGTGTCGTCGTTCACAGTGACGACGCAGTAGGAGAAGAGCAAACCACGTTTGGGTGCAGGGACTGTAGAAGTGGCACGCATCACCCCCAAACAAAAGTGACGATGTTTAAATATCAATAATACAATGACTAGTCCTCCCACGCACCAACTACCATTCACACAGACGACTAGGGGAGAGGATATTGACAACTATATTCATCATAAAATCAACCATTCTTCAGAATTAGTGGATCTTATCAGTGGAACTCGTCCAAATTCTGTTGAAGGATTTTGGACCCATCTGAAAAAAAAACGTATTAGAATGGTAAATGGTTCCTGATATGATGTGATATGATATACAGTCACTTAGATGAACTTTTGTATCCATATATATACTTTTCTATACAATAGATGCCACTTTTCACCTAGAAGAGTCTGATTGGTAGGTTCAAGGTCATAGTTTGACTTTGGTATCTACTTTTTACTGTTACTAGAAATTTGAATTTCTACTAGAACCATAAGATAAAAATAAAAAGGGTACACAGGATAAGGATTAGGGGAAAAAGAATTATCATACTTTTCGACACGATTCATTCTTCTTCTTTACATCAGGTATTATATCATCAAGTTCAAGATCACTGTCATCTGAAAATTCTGGTTTTTTCATATCTTCGTCAATTTCTTCATATTCCTTTCCAAACATTGAATTTAACAATTTCTCATGCTTTTCAGGATCCCAATCTTCGTCTAAATATTCAGCAACATCTAAAGCGTCTATCTTGTCGGATTTTTTGGTTTGATGAGTAGAAGAATTCAACTTATCATTAGCGTCAACATTATCAGCTGTTTGCAAAGAGATTAATTCATCCGTATTAAAGGGTAAAGAGTTTGGCCCACAGGTACGTTTAATACGTTCAATTTTTTCAGCTAACATGCTCAATTTTAAATTACGTAGACGAGTTAACTCTTGAAATTTAGCCTCTTTCTCTTTTCGCTTGCGTTCAGCTTTAGCTTTGCGTCGTTCAGCTCTTTTCGATTTCACACTGCTCAGCGTTTGACCAATACTGCTTTCAATATGTCGAGGATATGTTTTTATCTAAAAAAAAACAGAAAAAGAAGTAACTAACGCATTTAAAGTGCACAGCGGGTGGGGTAAGGTGGGGTGGGTATGAAGACAGAACAAAACGAAAGAATCGTTGTTTATCTATCTTATGCATATATTCAGATAGATAAAGGGCTAAATAAACATGGGGTCTTCTTATAAACAGCATTACAAGACTAAAGCAACAAGTGACTACAGTCTCTGTGTAATACGAGCTATAACACTGGTGATTTCATTCAAGAGACAAAAAACAAATAAGGCGAAATTTATTTAGTCAATGGCAAACTTGAAGCATTACACATATATAAGGAAGGTGACTGACTGAATGACTTGTTTCAACATAGAACTTTACACAGAAATCGACACTCCCACCATGTAGCACACAAAGCAAGATTCAAAAGAGAGGTAATAAACAGAAATATGAGGCAAAAAGAATAGCAATATGGAAGAAAAATAGAGTTTTATTGGATATGACAATTAACAAAGAGTAAATACGTCTACGCCAACACTGACAACGATTTTGACCAACCATATCACGAATTGTTTCCAGTCTTCATTGGTTTCTACCATCCCAAGGACCCTTACCAGATAGTCAACAACTCCCGACGTGGCTTAAACTAACTGTTGTTATGGATTTGATTGACTGATGTAGCCGTGTTTTCGCTTGACCATCAAATGCTAGCTCTTTTCCAAAGTGATCCTATGTCGGCTAAGACTGCCCGTCGAGGAAGGCGATGGCTAGGCGTAAATGCGCAAAACAGGTGCTAACCATCTCACTCAATCGATGTAAATGCTCCACAACCTCGTCGATTGAATTCCCCTCCTTATTTAGCACTCGACCGATACCTAACCAACTCAGTATTACTCACCCTATTACACCTACCACATAACACGGGATGTAGACAGAACGCAGACACCTATGATCGAAGACAGCTAACCAGCCTTTTCACATCTTTCACTCAATGGCCATGTCTCACAGTATTCGTGCTGAGATTAGCGATCAAATGATTAGGGCAGACACCAATCAAAATTAATTTTCAAGTGTTGATCTCCAGGGATTTGACTGACTTTAAGTTTGATCACGAATCGATATTACTAAGAGAACTACTGTGAACCAGAGAGTATTAAAGGGTTGTTTCATCCCAGTCCCAGACTCTCTTCAACAAGGCGCATCCATGACCCCACGAGGGATCGATACCAACACCTTGAGGTTACGAGGCGAGCTCGTTGACTATTCAACCGCTGGAACGGAATCCAGTGAACCATGAATTCTGACCTCTCTACCAACTAACTATGACGATAATCTAAATTTACTGTTAACATCAGTAGAAGGTTTTCATCTGAGACTGTAGTAACCAGAGGTTTCTGATAAGAGGCGACAAGTTCGAGGAGTTGACGACCGAGTCCGGTGTTATGTTAAACAGGTACTAGCTCCTATAACTTCATAAATATTTCCCAAACTCAATTATCGCTATATATATCGTGATTTTCATCGCCATTCGATAGAACCGAATGGCATTCGGTTTCGACAAAGAAATTGAAATCACTTCAGAGCTATATACATAATAAAGCAGTAAAACACATAGTAGGGTGAAAAATGTTTATGCCTTTAGTTCATTCCTTTGAGGTCCCAGTGGAACATAGGGCTTCAAGTTTGAGCTTTGAAGTTTCAGTAGTGATGGTGGTTAGTATTTTTTACGGGATGGCATTGTCAGCATCACATCCGACCGCCCATCTTTTTGGGCTTACTGCCGGCTAAGCAGGGTTTAGGAGTGCGTCGACTGGGGATGGAGCCACGAACCACGTGTGTGGTTATCGAGGATTCCACTGCTGAACCACCGACGTTCCGAGATTCGAACCCAGGTTATCCAGTGCTGCAGTTTGAGACGTTGTCACTGAGCTATTTGGACTCAAAATCAACGGTAGTACTCGTCACCACACCAGGGAACAAGCCTAGGACATTCCAGGCAATTTTCGTCTGAAGTGCTGTCTTTGCTGCTCCTTCAGTCAGGTTTTTGGTCAATTTTCGATAAGTTAGAATGAAAAATAAGTAGTAAGTAATGAAATTAATATAAACCGATCAACTTACGAATTCTTTATCTTCCTCTTCAAATCGATGCTGAGTTTTGTGGATTTGAGTAACACTCGTCTATAGAGGGCGGGGGGAGGGATGAAAAAAGGCATTCGGAGAATAAAAGTTGCAATGGGAGCACCAAAAGCAATACAATACTTGAAACAATTTAAAAATATGTTAACAGACATATGGTTTGAAGGCGACTATATGGTAAAAGCTTGACAACAAAAACATACATAAAGACAATAATAGAATACTCAATATTTGCTGTGACCTGAGAATTTATGCAGCTGTATAAACTCATTCAAGTAAGTTTGGAAAACGGTCCGCTGAAAGCAACCATCGACAAATTCTTCTTATACAAAAGATATGTTGATGATACTTTCGTCATCTGCGATAACAATTGTGATCAAAGTATTGTTCTTCAAGTTTTCAATAGTTGCCACCCAGCCATCAAACTTACAATCGAAGTAGAAACCAAAGAGACAATCTCCTTTCTGGACGTTCGTTTAAGTAAGAAGACCGATGGTACCTTGGACAGATCAGTACACAGAAAACCTACATGGAACGGTTAGTTGACAAACTTCTACAGTTGGGTACCAATTAGTCGCAAGCGAAACTTGATAATATATCTGGCGACTGGAATCCGAAAAATCTGCAGTCTTGAATCAATAGAGGAAGAGATCGCCCTCTTAAGGAAGACACTGCTCGAGAATGGCTACCCACCCCGTTTTATAGACAAGCACATTAAGCCTAAGACTTACAAAGAACAACCCATTATAGTGCAGAAGAAGATGGTCTACATAAATGTACCCTTCAAAAGTGACCTTCTGGCTGACACCTTGAAGAAGAGGATATCTACTGCTCTCAGAAGGACATTCTTCGCTGCCACACTACGACTGACACTTTCCTCCCGGCCATTGTTCTTCAACTACTCTAAAGATAAACTATCGCATTTGACCACTTCCATGTGTATCTACCAATTCACTTGCTCTTGCGGAGCGAGGTAAATAGGTCGTTCGATGCGAGTTTTATCTAAAAGAGTTCAAGAACACTATCCCGCCTGGCTACGGACAGGTAACAACGGAGCAATAAGGAGCGCCATTATTGAGCATATACTCAACACTGGTCATTCAATTTGCAAGGAGAAGTCGTTCAAAGTCATTTATAAAGTCAAAAGAAGCCTTCCAAAATCGACAAGCTTCCGTATACTTTGTATTGCTGAAGCCTTAACGATTTGGATGGAAAAGCCTGAGTTATGCACACAGAAGAAACTTCTCCATCCCCTCCTACTACCGTGGGTTTAATTTCAAGTTTATTTGTCATCAACATTTTGTTATCAAATTTTTTGCAATTTTTCGTATAACAATTTTAGTAACTAACCCATTCAATCTTTTCACCTATTATCTAGTTTATTTTCATAATTGTCTCCAAACTCCTTCATTAGCATCTAATCTTTCTAAACATGTCTATATTACATAACCCTACTCACATCTTACCAATCTTCACCCCACTTAGTTACAACTTTGATTATTAATCACGCATTTTAACTTCATTATTTTGATGATGTAATCAACAACCCACACTGTCATTTTGATTTTGACAAACCTAATGTACACACACACACACAAAATTAATTGTATATATTTGAGACTGTACAGCTAAGTGAATGAATTCGCCGAAAAGAGACTCTTCGCTGAACCAATTTGTTCGTATTACAATTCCATCTATCTGACCTGAAACGCAAACCAATCCATCATGATGATATCTATTCTTTTCTCCCCTTCGAGAAATACACAACGACATTTTGTTGAATGCCAATTATGTTAACAGTTCAGGAGTACACTTTGTGAAGGAAGGACACCATTGAAGAACGGTCATCTTGTGTATTGGGATGATCTGTCATCCATCCAGTTGGATAATGCTGTTTCTCATGTTTAATAGAAATTTGCCAATACTCCCCAGAGTAAACAATACTATTAGAGGTCATATTTTACTAAACTTAAACGAAGTGAATTAGAGAAATTATATGCAACGTATATATTGATGGAAGTTTGTTTCGGTAGCCCAAGTTTTAAGCACACCGCCCTTTATGTTATTCAATCCTATTCAGGATATTATGATGTGGGAACTATGACGCGTTTAACATTACCAAGAGAGAGGCAGATGCTGATTCTAAAGCTTCGGAAAAATTCTAGTGCTAAAAAGGAATCGATAAATAAATGACAATTCCTATTGTTATTATTACTATCATTTATGAACACAACTCACATTTACACCCAAGGACTGTAAACGCTGTTGTTCTAAATTATTGACTTTTATTAAAAATTCATCGTCTTCATCCAGGATATCATCGTCATTGAGCAAATTTTTCGGTTTATCACCATCATCCTCAGGGTTTATACCAGATTCACGCAGAATATCAGAATATGTTGGCAGGGAATTCTTTCCTCGGCTGTTTGGTTCACGCCAACGTTTATTTAAAATGTAATCACGTAGAAATTCTTCAGCCTCTTTGTTTGACTGATCAGTGAAGACAATTTTGTCTAAATCCTGAGAGAAGCAGAATGAATGAATGAAAAAAATAGGAATTAAATATACAGTTACTTAAAAATAAAAACGGAAAACAGCAGATAATTTAAATCTATGCATGTAAATATAAATTATTATTATTATTCCCTTGCGTTCCGAATGGAACATAGGGCTTTAACAACACATTTCCACTTTATTCTGTTTTCTGCCGTTCTCTTCAGCTGGGTGCACGAGTGACCTTATTCTCCCATCTCCTCTTCTCACGATCTCTTTTATGTCACCCTAGGACGACCCACTCGTCGCTTCCCATTCGGATTACACTCGAATAATGGCCTGCATTGAGCGCGATGTCATTCGACGGTTTCCTCAATGTATGCCCGATCCATCTCCATTTTCTACATATTTTTGTTAAGCAATCAGCTTTTGGTTGTTTTCTTCCCAGAGTTTGTTATTAATGCTTCCTGGCTGGCCATTTGATCTTCAGTATGGGGCGAAGGCAGATGTTGATGAAAGTCTGCAACCTGTTGGAAATTCTTTTCGTGACACACATGCAGTGCAAGTTTCTGGGCCGTAAAGAATAACTGACCGACTTCACATTGGTGTTGAAAATGCGAATCTTGTTCCTTATGCTGAGTGTGGAAGGTTTCCAAACTGGTTTCAGGTTGATGAAGGCGTATCTTGCCTTTCCGATTCTGACTGACCGGCTTTGACATCTTCATCCATTCCGCCAGCATGTAGTTGAAACGATGCTTCTCAGATAAGTGAAGGAGGCAACCACTGTTAAAGCCATCCCGTTGATGGTGATTGGTGTTGGTTGATTGGGTATCTCCATCACCGCGGTCTTCTCTGTGTTCACCGGCAGTCCTGTCTTCGCTGCCGACTTCTTCAGACAGTTTGTTGGTTTTCGCTTCGCTTGTAAGTCTTCGAGTTTGTGTGACATTAGACATATATGATTCACGCGCGAAATCCAGATCTTCTAGAGTCTTCTTATCGGTCGTCCAGCGTATGCCTGACTCTTCGCCCCCAACAGTTTGACGCATAATCCAGTCCAATACAATTAAGAATATCATCGGCGATAATAGGTAGCCTTGTCTTACTCCTGTGTGCACTTCGAACGCCTCGCTGAGTTTTCCGTTGTGGCTATAAGAGTTAGATAAACATAACTAAGAAATGTCAAGCAGTTTAAGAGAGTGTTCACCACTTCACCTACTTCGAAACTTGTATCAGCGCAAACGGTATGATTACTGACGACACCAAAGGCTTATGTGGTATACACCAGCCAAAGTCATCTCTGGAGTAAGCGTGATATCCGACTATCAACCAAAAGATGTATGTACCTGCGCAGTAGTTCTTTTTATCCTTCTTTAACGCTGTGAAATATGGTGATTTAATGTAGAAAACCAGCAGTGTTTGTGTCTTATCTCTTGTTTTAAGTAATATTGGAGTGAGGCATCGAGTATTAGGTAGGAAGGGGAAGTCAATCGATCATAATGTGAAGCTACATCGGCTGAGATGGCTAGCACATATGTTACGTAATAACAAGCTATCGTCTTCTTCGATGACCAAGGTTTCCCGACATCAGATTATGGTGACAGCTGGCTGCGAACAAGCCAAAATTGCAAACAACAATTTACGCCAGTGTTACGTCTGGAATCAGGGTCATGAGAAAAACGATAACAAAGCTCAACCTTAAGGAACTCACCAGCCAATCACAGCAGACTTAACGTGTGCAAACAGGATTTGCAGATATGTGGCTTAACTTTCTGAGAAACGGTCACAAGCAGTACAGAATAACCTTCAGCGAGAAAACAATCAATCAGAAGAAGTTCCTCCTCCGCTGACAATAATGTACATGAAAATCTACAAATATCGCTGGATTTTGTCAATAAACAATCTGTTGCCCGGCTCTTGTCTTCTGTCGTTACAAGATTAGGTGGTTGAACCAATAACACAGAATCAATCCATGAAAAACTTTGACAGTTGGTTTGAGTCACGTATAGGGAGGTTTAAACTACCTGGTTGGTGTCGCTGAGATGCTAGGAACCAATGGTGGTATGGCTCAATGGTGCAGATGTGATCACCGATATCCACTGAAGCCACGTGTTTTCTCGAGATACTATTCTGTGCCGGTTATAATTCTGTTCATTATGAACTTTTTTCATGCTTTTCTCTACTTTTATGTGTTACGTGGAATATAGCAACTTGAACTACTGCACTTCTGTGCAGTGTTGTGTGTTGAAACTCACTCAGCCAGTCAAACACAAACCAGAGATTTTCACCTTTAAATTGAACTACTGTACTTCTAAATGTAGTGGACTGGGTAGTACAGCAGTTCCTGGAGATAGAGAAGGTGGATATACGTTGCAATAACTAAAAGACATTAGAGGATTTAGATTTCGTGGATGACTTATGCCTCACGTTAAACAAATTTGATGATTCACAGGCGAAAATAAAGAAGTTGACAGAAAAATCCACGAAGATAAAACTTCAGGTGAAGATAGACAAGATAGAGATGATGAAAATGCGGAGTCACTCACAGATACCTTCACTTTATACTGAAGATGAGATGGCTGGCTAGAAATGATACCCGACAGGGAACTCTCCAAGCCAGCAAATCAGGTAAGAGCATATTGTCCAAAATATATACAAAAGGGAATGGAGACATGAAGGTGACATCACATGCCAGAGAGGCGCTTCAGTGGAACCCCAATGTGAAGTGAATAGTTGGATGTGGATTCGAGGGTGACATGGAGAACATTACGTGAAGAGTAAATCAAAGCTTGTACTAAATCACAGAAGCGGTTGAAAATGACAGCAAAGAACTATGCCGAATGTCCCACTCAGAACGCAAGCACCGACTAGTAAAACAGTCTGATAATACATTCAAGGACCCAGTGCAAAATCCAAGCTTCCAATGTTGAGGAAACACCAGTAAGTGAAAAATTAAGAAAGTGCACTTGTAAAAAAAAGAAAAAGTGAAGAAACCACCGTTCAAAGTAGGAAGACGCCGGATTTAACAAGGTGAAATTTGGCACAACAGTGCACCGAATAATTTCATTAGTCAAACAAACACACGAAACAGTTCACATAACACTGTTCATTACGCACAGTCATCAACATTTTGCACCGAGGACATTTATTATTCATAAAATTATGATCACTATTATTTATTATTATTCTCCTGGGTTCCAAGTGAAACACACAGTTTCAACAGCACATCTCCACTTTGCTCAATTATCTGCTCTCCTCTTCAGTTGGCTCTACATTTGCCCATAGTCTCTCATCTACTCCTCGCACCATCTCCTCCATTTCACACTCGCATATACGCCCAACTCATCGCTTCCCATTCGAGTTCCACTCGAACTATAAACTGCATTCGGTCCGCTGTCACTCGACGATCTCCTCAGAGTGTGCCTTAGCCATCTCCACTTTCTCCTACATTATTGTCGAACGATAGATTCTTGGTTTGTTTGTTCCCAGAAATTATCGTTGCTAATTCTTTCTGGCTGGCCATTTCATCTTCAATATAGAGCCAAGGCTTCTTAGCTAGATAAGTGAAGTGATGGTGTTATTTGATGGTTATCTTCATTACCTCCGTCTTTTCCATGTTCACCTGGAGTGGCTATCTTCACTCTACATTCAATCTATCCCTCTGGATATTTGTTATGCGACAGGCTATTGGTTGATTCCTTCGCAATGTTACTGGCTGTTTATGCTTTTCTGGTCAGTCATCTGACTGTCAAGCATGCAGGGGGGATGCAGTTACCCTTGGAAATGAAAAACATTCAGGTCAATATATGATCTTCTTGGCACCGTAAATGGTTATCAAGATACTAGGCATAAACTAGTGATTGACTGGGTGGAGAAGTAGTTTTATACCACTCACATCGATCAGTAATGTTTACTAATCAGTCAGATCGAGGTAATCTAAATAACATACGGACGTTTTTTTTGTTCAGAGCTGAGCTCATCAACTGTGCGCTTGCTTGACTCAGCTCAGAGAGCCATATTGTAACGATAGAAGTTGAAGACTTGGCAAGGAATGTTTATTTGCAGTTTGGTATCTGTACATAGCCAAATTATGTACACCTGATCTTCAACGCACCATTTGCACATATCTTCCGTGTTTTGCTACTTCTGGTCTTCATATTGTGTTTCTTTGAGTTGCTTTCACATCTTTCGTGTATACCCCGCAAAGCTGTATCATTTGCCTTCTCTGACATTGAATCTATTTCCCAGCTATTTGATGTTTTCATGCCGATGAACATCTCTTTTTACATATACTACTGATAAATCTTATCAGTAGCACATGCCACAGAATCACAGTTCAAACCGCCTGGCATAGAAGAAATGACTTGACAATAATGTTGGAAATTCAGATCTTCTTCCATATGCTGAGTGAAGTAGATTTTCGCACTGATTTCAGAGTGGTGAAGCTCTTTCTCGCCTACTTGATCCTTACTGGATTTGATATCATCAACCGTGTCATCAGACTGTAGTTGGAACGACTGACTGACTAGGCAGAGATATGGATATGAGTTGTAACACTCAGAAAAACACACTTGTAAGCTGCCTCGCACAGCGTTATGCATCATCAAAGTGAGAAAAAGTACCAATCATGCACAAACAGTGCGTCAGTGACACAGCGGTAGAATGCTCGTCAACCACGCAGATGGTTTGCGGTTCGACCCCCAGCCAACGCACTCTTTTACTTCGCCAAACCAGTAATAAGACTGGTAAAGAGGGAAGTGGGTGGGGGGCATGAGGCTAGAAAACTCACCCCGTAAAAATAAATACCGCTGCTACTGAATCTTTACAGCTCTGGCTTGAAGCCCTATCTTCCACCGGGAACGTGAAGGAATTCAGAAAAACAAAATGCAAAAACAGATTGAACTCACATAACGACGTTTTTTCTTTTCCTCTTCATTGGATGCTTTCATGTCACTTTTTCTTTTCCGTAGAAAACTTAAGTCAGAATTATTATTTTCTTCGTTTCCATCAATTTCAGTTTCCTTTTCTCCTGAAGTTGTAGCAGCTTGTTTAAGTGCTGCATTCGCCTCTCTGGATAAATAAATAAAATGTGTTCATTAATGAAACAAATCAACTTTATTCAAGTGTTGGTTAGCAGGGATTTGACTGGTTACAGGGTTTATCATGAGCTGACATCAGTTAGAGAACTATTTTGAAACCGTCTGGGAGTAGTGTACAGCTGTTCCGTTCTGGTTTGGGACTCCTTAGCAGACCATTGAGACACAGGGACCCAATCCAAAGGCAACTTCCGCCAATTCTCACTAGAACAAAGGTACAGAAGTTGTGACCGGTAGGGTACAGCAGGTCGAGTGTGAGGACAAATACTCGCCACGCATGACACTGACTAGTGCTAGTCGCTTCACAGTTTATAACATTCATATTTTTTTCTCTATGTTCCTAGTGCGACATAAAAGGCTTCAAGCTGGAGCTTTGAAGTTTCGCTAGTAGTGGTCTTATTTTTTTTTACGGGATGGGGTAGCCAGCATCACACCCAATCTTCGCTCTTTCCCGGCCTTACTACTGACTGGCTTAGCGAGGTTTAGGAGTGCGTCAACCGTGGATCAAACCCCCAACCACATGAGGCGTGGTTGACGAGCGTTCTACGGCTAGACGACCGACTCACACAAGTCATTACAAATTGCCAACCAAGAAGCACGCTGTCTGTTTTCATTTTTTCCGCCATCTCTACGGTCACCTAGGATAAGTCGATATTTCCATCAACATAGCATTGTTATGTTAGGTAGGCAAGAACAACTATATAAATAAAGTTGGAGCCTGTACAACTGTACGAAGACGCTCTGCGCATAGTCACTTTGACCTGCTGTTCAATACACAGGAAAATTTGGAGGGCGATTCGTACACAGTAAACTTAATATACGCAGCTTGGATATGAAAAACGGATGTTAGATTTATACTCAATAATAATCGGACTCTTAGATTTTAGGGAATAAGAAACAAATCACCAAGAACTAGTGACTGGAAGTTGTTCTCAAGTAATTATACCATCATAGAACATGTTCATTAACGAACACCAGTCCACTCTATTTAGACTGGATATTAAATACACTTTTTGTGCAATACACAAGGAAATGATGGTAACTACAGTCCTTTCAATATGCTCTCAAATATATTCTTCTATATTCTTGAAACTGCAATCAAGAGACTAGCCAGAATACGTCACACATTCTTATGATTTCAAGTGTGGTTTTGCAGGAGTTTCAATGGTTATAAGGTTCGGTCACGAGTTGATATCAGTTTGAAGAACCGTTGGAAAACTCGAGAGCTAATTTGTCAGTCTAGTCTGAGACTCTCTAGCAGAACGCACCCACGAGGGTCCGAACCTAGGACCTTCAGGTCACAAAGCAAGCGCGTAGACCCATCCAGCTACTAAGAACTGATCCACTGGCCTAAGAATTCTCACTTCTGCTAATTCGCGATACATGGTGTAGCTGCCAGATAATGTCATCAGTGCGTAACTGTTCACCTGCCTGATCTGGTGGACCCCTATCGCATTCTGATATGTGTCTATACTCAAGTTTCTGACATAAAAGACACAGGAAACAAGTATATTAGATGATGACTAGAGTATTACGATTCGCAATTCCCGATTATATTTCAAGGTATCAACAAACATTTACGTCAAACAGATCGTCGTATGAACATAGTATGCAAAAAGCAAATCGAAGTGTTTTGTGCTATCAACGTAGATCTCCAGTAACATTATTTTTATTTTATTTTTGATTACAGCTTGATTCCACACCGTATTTTTTGGTACAGGTATGGAATTTTCAGCATGTCATATCGGTAGCCCAGAATTTGCAGGCCGACCATAGATATCAGGTGTGCGTCGGCAGGGGATCGAACCCCGGACCATGTGCATGGTCGGCGAGAGTCCTAACCACTGTGCCACCGACGCAAACAGAACTATGAATAAAGTCATGAGTAAAAGTCTAACTGACTCTTTTTAGGACCTATAAAACCATGATCAAAACCTCATAACAGAAAACATGACTGTTACGCCACTCACCAAAAAAAACACAACAACAACTAACAATCCTTACTTTAAAAATTCCTCTTTGGATAAATCTTTAGAACGCTGTTTAAGCTGTCTCAAGATATCATCACTTTCCATCTTGACGATCTTTTCAGCTTCACGAGAAGTGATTTCATCTTCCAAACCATTATTATTCAAGAGAAATTCACGCTCATAATCACGAAGTTTTAAAGCACGTTTCTTTGCCTTCTTATCCTGTGCATCAGTGCTTTCATGAACTTCTGTCTCAGATGCTTCATCTACACCAGATTCATCATCAGCATCAGCATCATTATCACCATCACTATCACCCGATGCATCAGGATCACGAAACCATTGTTTATTTGGATCATCGAGGGATGGATCATTGGTGCATAATGCTTGATATAAAGTTAAAAAGTCTTCTTGTTCTTTCTCTTCCCAACTTTCATTATCCGAATCTGAAGAACTCGATGATGTAGACTCATCCTCTTCGTCATCTGTGACTGAAGCCAGCGGCTCCGTCTTAGTCGCTTCTCTGTCATCTTCCGGTTTCTTAGATAATTTAGTATTTTTAAGCTTGGCATCACCGTGTTTAGCCTTAAGCCTTTCATATTCTTCTTTCTGACGATATCTATTGTAGTTTTTAGCAAAATCTTCATTGATTTTGAAATGCATATTTGATTGATTGAATATATACAACAAGGTGTCTCTAGAAGGCATAATAATATCAACAAAGATACATATAAGTGACAGGCACAATTTGAAGAATAGATTATCTATCAGTTCATAAAATCCTGTATGAAAAAAATCTCTCAGGCACTTATTAGCACAAATAATACCAGTTTTGAGGCACCAAGTCCTTAGTAAAGTTTTTATAAGCAAACACCACCTAGCAACATACATTCACTTAGTATGTTGGTGAAACAACAAAGACGTTATTTAATTCAGTTTTAGATTTTCCCATCGATTGATTGGACTGAATTGCTTGGTCTCAGTTCGACATGTCGGCTTCTTGTGCAGATATTTCGACGTTGTCTGGGCATGTAATTCGAAGTCAACCTGAGACAGAGCACTTCATTCCAGTCAATCGACGGGAAAATCTAAAATTCAATTATATAATTAATATGCCCCGTTACACAAGAGGTAGCTCTCGTGGCTTAAGTGGTCTAGTGGATAACGCTTTGGCGTTTGAAACTATGGGCACTGGGTTCGAGCCTCGGTGGGAACATCATAACTCACTGGGGAATATAAGTACATCCAGTTGACGAGTCCCGAATTGGACGAAATTCACATCCCGGATTCCATTGCTAGTCACCATCCAACAATTAACAAAGGCACTAGAATACGTCGAATTGTGTAAGAAAAGAGTGCAAACACATTTGATTATAATATATTTATTTCCTCGTTCAAGCTTTACTATTATTATTGTTTTCAAGTGTTAGTTTCTAGGGGTTTTGCTACTTCCAAGTCTGACCAAGAACTAATATCAAATAGAGAACCACTGAAAACCAGAGAATAACGTATGGCTATTTTGTCCTAGTCTGGGACTCTTAAGCAGGTAGCACATATGATCTCACCGGGGATCGGACGCCAACTGACTGCCCATTCAGAAACAAAAGGCGGAATCTAATGGCCCATCGATTCTAGTTTCTATCATTATTGTCAAGGGAACAGAAGTGTGAACTAAGACCACCTTGCTGTTTCGAAAAAAGCTGATTCTGATGAACACAACTTAATCAAGGGAGAGGAAAAGTGATTGGCTTTCATTTGACCTCGAAAATTGATTCACTCTAATTTTCCTGAAGACAGATATTGTCTGATATGCATAGCTGTTCAAATAACTTTGTTAAATAATATAGGAACAAGTGCAAATAATGGGGAGAAAAATATAATTTAAGTAATAACAAAAGTATGTCAGCCTATATTTGACGCTAAGACTATAGAAGAGAAAAGGCTCCACTCTAATATATATATATATATATATATATATATATATATATATATATATATATATATATATATATATATATATATATTCCCAGTGGAGCATAGGGCTTCAAGCTACAGACTTGAAGTTTCGGTAGCAGTGGTGTTTATTTTTACGGGATGGGGTTGCTAGCCTGATGACCAACCTTCCCTCCTTACCAATCTTATTATTGGTTTGGCGAGGTAAAGGAGTGAGTCGGCCAGGGATCGAACCCCACACCACCTGCGTGGTTGGCGAGCATTCCATCGCTTTGCCACCGGCGCATATATTTATATATATATATATAACTGTTCGAATACAATACAGAAACTTACCACAATTCAATGTTACTAAGTTTGTTAACAATAGTTAGACATAGTTATAGTCGGATTCCTGAACATCATCCTGCATGGTTAAGCAAGGGACAGACAGGATCCATTCGTAGCTCTGTGTTAGCACACCTTGTAGATAGTGAGTATAAAGTTGATATTAATGAAGCATTTAACGCTGTTTATCGTATTCCCACTAATATTAATTTTGCTTTACTAGTTCATCTTCTACATACACCTGAGGTCATCGAAATCCACCTGAAGAAGCCAGGTAGACCTGTGTTCAGAAGAAATTTGTGCAGCCACTTGGCCATAATTAAATGTAGGAAAAACAGACAAGTTATCAGTGTACTGATTAGTTCAATTTATTCTGACTATTTCATCTTTAACGCCTTATTACGTAATCAACCTGAACATTAATCATCTACCCCCCTAATTAATCTTCTTATCTTCGCAAAATTATACATTACACAATACACTTGTTTAATTCTTAGAAATATATTTCACCCCTTTAATTGTGATTGCATTAGTTTTCTTGGTCAATTACCACCCACGTTTGACATGTTGATAATGTAACATTAGGAACACAATATTCAGCGACAAGACTCTTTTCAACGAATTTATTGTCGTTACATCATACCTAACGACAATACCGACATCGAATTGGTAACTAAAGAGTTCAACACCTGTCATCATGCCATCAAGTTCACGTCGGAATCAGAGATTAACTCGGAATTCCATTTTTTGGATGTTTCTCTAAAGAGGAGATCTGATGGTTCTCTTCAGAGATCGATCTACAGGAAACCAACATTGAATGGTCAGTACACAAATTTCCATAGCTGGGTCCCTTTGAAAAGAAAGAGAAATCTGATCCATTCCTTATCCTCATGAATAAGGAGGATATGTTCAAGTGATACAGTCGTTGGGGAACTGGAGCGACTCAGACAAGTCCTCATAGAGAATGGATATCCTCCAAGATTTATCGAGAAAAACATGAAGTTAAGGGAAAAACCTGAAAGAATACAGATGGTGCCGAAGAAACTACTGTTTATGAGTGTTGAATTTAAAGGCGATACCGCAGCTGAGATCCTGAAGAATCGCTTATGCAGATCACTGAGAAAAGCCTTCCTTGTGGCTGAGCTATGTATCAATTTCTACAGCCGACAAATGATCAACGGATGTGTGAAGGATAAACTGCCTCTTTGGGCCACCTCAATGTGTGTTTATAAATTCACTTGCTCGTGTGCAGCTAGTTATATTGGCCGCACAAAGCGCACGCTTTCCAAACGCATCTCTGAACATTATCCGGCATGGTTAGCAAAGGGACAATGCAAGACAATTACTAGCTCAATTCTCGAGCATTTGGTGAACTCAGGCCACGTAGCTCCACCAGAATCGTCTTTCAAGATCATCTACAAAGTGAAGCCAAATGGTACAAAAGGCGTCAGGTTTCGGCTTTTGTGTATGGCGGAGGCTTTGGCAATACATCAATACAACCCTGAACTCTGTATACAGAAGAAGTTTGTCCAGTCTCTTATTCTACCTTGGTCTTAACCTCTTCGCTAATCGTTCCTTGTAAATAAAATATATTTTGATTTTTCTTTTCATTCCAATTTCACTTTTAGTTGGCTTTTGCTTTAATAATTAATTCACTATTATCACTCTCATATGCTCTTTTTGTATATTTTCACACCCTCTTCACACTTGTTAAATTGACAGTCAAATACCTTTATTCTCACTTAATAGCAGTTTTAACCTTATCAAATTTCTATCTTTTTGCCGTTGAGTACCACGTAATTTTCAACTTCTAATTTTCACTTCTGAAGCCACTTCTGAGTAATTATATCAATTATGTCACCCCCTATTACTCAATAATAGACCACTATATATTTTTGTAAGTATAAATACGATTGTACAGCCACTGAAGATGATTTCGTCGATAAAGAAAATTTTCTTCGCTGAATCTGTCTTCTATATTGATAAATCTTTTTTATTGTATTCAAAATTGCTATTCATGTAGAAAACAGTAGAGCCATAGACAAAGATCTGATTGGTCTTTGGTTTTCTATAAATGTTTAAACGGAGACTACTTTTTTCCCCATTTCGAAAGATGTGGAACAAAAGAATTTCAGTGGACAAAAACACCAACAAAGCAACTTTTATATATATGTCCAAACCAAGTTCACTTTTAACAGCTTGAAAAAATTTGGGCATTGGGTATATGATATTCATTATAATAGAGGTTTTTGTATTTCCCAATGAATGAAAAACAAAACGATATTGTTTTTACTGACGTTTCGCTATTTAATGCTAATAACTTTATCAAAGTATTGTTAAACCGGAATTTACAATTTTTTTGTTACTTCGTCACTCTTTGTTATATATATTCTGAGATTTTGTAAATTCCGGTTTAGTAATACTTTGATAAAGCTATTAGCAGCATTAAATAGCGAAACGTCAGTAAAAACAATATCGTTTTGTTTTTCACTCATTGGGAAATACAAGTAAACCTATATTATAATGAACAGCATTTCTATAACTAATCATATCGTAAACACTAATAAAAAGAAATGATAGCATGTATACCATCAAAATGCCAGAGTTATAGAATAATGTAAAGCCTGGTATAGCGACGCAACACACACATACACCACTCACTTACTAGTCGTCACAATTATAGACAATCGTAGAACAAAAAAACACAGAAAAGGGAAGTAATTAGAAACAGGATGGTTAACAAAAATGATATCAGACAAGAGAAATGAATAAGGGAAAGCTAGGGAGAGAGAGAGAAAGAGTCAATGAAGTGCTTAGGATCTTGAGGACGGTATGAAAGCAGGAAGAAACACATACCACTATGGTAAATTTGTGTCAAATGATAATAATAGTTATGATAAAAATTTCAAATATTGTGGGAGCAAATACATAGGTAGTACAGAAAGACGATTGTCTACACGCATGATGGAGCATTTGCCAAGGTGTTTGAAAAAACAGCTTAAGTCAAAATGCCTCAAAAGTTCAATTACAAAGCATCCTGCGGACTACAGACATGATATTGACGCTGTCAAGTGGTTCACTGTTGTCGGAAGACAACTAAACAGGAAGATGCTTGCAAATGCGGAGGTTTATGCAATTAGAATTTATAAACCAGGTCTCTGTGTAGAGAAAGGAATGGTGGTCACTTTGAATCTACTATGGTAACATATTTTATTTATTAAATATTATTATTACTATCAAAATTGTATCCTATTTCTCATTATGACTATTTCTGATTCATTTAAAATTACCTTTATTATTACCATTATCTTAACTCGCTTTAAAATTATTATTACTATTATTTAGTTCTCAGTTCTTGATATATTCAAGTCCTTTCATTCATTGATAAGGAACTGTGAGAAAAGTGAACCGCATAAAGCATTTTGTCTTAATTTTACATGTGTTTGTACAGTATTCAGCTGAGGAAGAGTTCTACTGAAATTTGATGAATATTCACTAAATCGTACTTCATCTCATTGATTTCTATTTTGTTTCAAATACCACTTTTACTATGATAGTCACTCAGAAGTATTCATTGTGTCAATCAGCTGGTGTTCATAAACTGCACTGAGCAGTATTCGATATCGTATCCATGAGAAAGTGTAAGTTTTAGATAAAATGTAACGAAACGAGTAACTATTTACTATAACCTGTGATATGAAGAAACACAAACAACAGTGTCGGACTACAAGGATTCGACCAGTTACTGGATTTCATCATGAGCTGACATCGATGAACCTGGGACTACTGGACAGCTGTTTCGTACCAGTTTTGAACTCTTCGGGCAGTACGCACTCCCTGGGGTCTAAATCCCAGAGTCCTAGTGAGAATTCATGAACAGTGCGGTTAACCCGATCGGCAATGAGAGCGATACTCACCAATGATATTAGCTGGCGGCCGCACTAAAATTACCAATTGGTAGAGGTTATAATTCATGAGCTGGTCATTAGATTGGGTCCCAGTGGCTGAATGGTCTACGAGTTCTTCTCATAACCCGAAAGTTCTTTGTTCATACCCCAGAGGGTGCATACTGATGAGGTATCCTAAACAAGGACGAAACAGATGTTCCATACTCCTAGATTTCCGAATGGTTCTCAAGATGGTGCCAGCTCGTGACTAATCCTGTAACATTTCTTTTCACTGAAGAACATCAAGACTCAGCTGTAACAGGATGAAATTTATCAGTATTACTTCACAATCAGTACAGTGTCATTGAACAAAGGCAAATACTTATGATCCAGTAGTATTCACAAAGCTTTACATAGGAATATAATATGACAGGTGATGATAACATATCAGTGGCGACATTGAATAGATGGATGGGAACAGATTCGCGCCTCTGATACATTGGCTGGTGATTACGTTATATACCGCGAATCAAGGGAAATTGGAATCCACGGACTGTTGCACCGGGTCTCTGTGACTGGATGCTAAACATGCGCGCCAAGCAGCAGGGGAGCCCTGTGCTCGAACCCTTCGGGTAGATGCCTACTGATAAAGAGTCCACAGACTAGACTGACGAAACAGCTGTCCAGCAACCACCCCAGCCTCGCGCTCTAAATGATGTTATCTCGAGATCAAAACTGTAATTAATCAGATCCCTGCAAAGCATTAGATATTTACTGTTAGACAGTATAGTTCGGCAAAACACCAGTGTTGATTTAGTTTCATATAAAAAGTTCACTATTAAAAGAAAACGAAAGCAGAAAGTACCAGTTCTGAAAAATGATCAATATTTCTGTACTCTATCTAGGTAGATCCAGTCAAGACAGACGTAGCAGTACTGGAGGGTATTTCATCTGTAAACTATTGACAAATTTATTTGTTAAATAGAAAAATAAATAAATAAATACTGACAGACATTTCCATCATTACAGACAACAACAACCAACATGCATGCATATAAGCTGTTACGAGTGTGATGTTAAAGCATATTCCCCCCATCCCGCGAAAAATCACCAGTTTCGACTAACAAATCCTTGGTAGTTGTTGTTATTTGATAATCATAACTAGACAGAAGGCTCCAGAGTTCAATTGCATCCCCCATTGTTTCGCGCTGGCCTATCGCATCTCAGAAAAATGCCCCGATTTTACTAAACACCCCAGTGGCGCTCATTCGATGTGGTGTATTTTCGCAGGTGATAGCAGGGAGGGGTGGGTATGCTTTAGCATCAACTCGCCGTTATTAACACCTTCATCACAAACATGCCCAGAGTGTGTGTGTGATAAAGAGAACACAGAAGTCAACTATAAAACTTTATTTATTAGTATTAACAACCTCCAACAGAATTCTGACGACGACGACAACAGCAGCAGCAGCAGTTGTTGCCATCGTTAAACGATCACTGCACAGTAGTTATTCCATTGGTTTGTTGTTGTTTTGTTTTGTTTTTGGTTTGATTGAGAGAGCAAGGAACCTGAAATAAATCTGCCAACAAAATATACACAACTATGCATATATATATATATATATGTATGTATTTGTAAATTAGAGGAAAGTTATAAACAAAATAAAACTCAGCATAGTTTCTGGATGCACACAGCAAGATGAAATATGAATCATATATATATATATATATATATATATATATATATATATATAAAGCAAAGATATAGGAAATTACCTCCCTCTCTCTTCAAGACAAAAAGAAAAGCATTGGAAATATTATATCAAGAATAGAAACAACAATAGTAAATTTTTTTTGGAATGTATTCTCTCGGTTAGCCTACACACATGTGATGCATGTTGTCGTAATGGTATCCGAAGATATTGTGGAATGTATGTATGTAAGTGTGTATCTTGTTCATGTATATATTTAGACGGATAACTAATACTATTCTAGTGGCACACTACATCACTATACTACCACTACTAGTAATGCACACAATGCCTATCTACACAATCCTTGATCAACATCAAGCATTCAGAACACACACACACACAAACACAAAAATGAGCAAATTGGGAATCGTTTAGACGGTAACCATGGTAACCAACTAACGCACTGACAGACAATCATAGAAATAAATAAATAAATAATAAAGGAATGTATAGAGAAAATTGTGGCTAAACAAATGTGAGTAATTTTCGTTGTATACATAATTTTTAGTAGACATAATAAATAGAAAATAATATCCAAACACTCTGAGACACAGACACACAGGCACGCACGCACACACACAGACAAACACATTCGCACAAGTGCATAACTGGTACAAATAAATAAATGAGTAGTAAATAAATAAATCCTCAAAATAAAAAGAGAAAAAAAACATCGAAAATAAAAAACAATCATGATCACGAACATTAGAAAGAAGTGAATATATATTTTGTGAGCGAAAAAAAACAACCAAAATAATGTTGAGTAGTGACCACGCTTTTCTTCGTCTTCTTCTGACCAAAAGACAAATAGACAGGGGTGAACAAAGAGAAAACAGGGGGCGGGGATGAACTAACACTATTTTTCTGATTTATTTATTTAATTAGGTAAATTGCGCATATTTGTCTGCTCTACTAAATAAGTTAGTTACTTGGTATAATAGTATTCTTTCTCTTTTTCATTTAAAATATAAACAATTGGCAAGGTAGGAATATAATATTTACAAAATAATGGAAGCGTTCGTAATTATTATTCAGTTGTGCATTGGCATTAAAATAAACTGACATTATTCCTTCTGAATAAGAACATAATCTAATAGTTTAATGTAGGAGTTTTCACCATCAACTTCGTCGGTAGTAGTTGTTGTGGTTGTTGTTCTAGTGGCCATTGTAGCAATGTGATTAAAATTGTTTCCATCCTTGTGATTCTCTTGATGACGGTTCTGCTGAATGGAATTATTGCTAATTCTTGACTCATTGTCATCACATTTCTTCTTTGGTTTATTAATATGAGGTATACGTCCAAATACTGATAGTTGGCCTAAGCACTTACCAGTGTATATCTTTCCACTCCAACGACCATGAAGATCACTGGCTGACGATGAAGAGGAGGGAGTAAGAAAGTGCCATTCAGTATCATTGATTACAACAGCTACTGAATCACACTGAGGTGCATCTAGACAAAATTTGTAGCTTCGATCAATGAATAAGTGTTGATGACTCGGTTCGATTAGCCGGCATTGAACCCACCAAAATGTTTGACGTGGATAGGCATGTGTCAATTCAGCGGAACGACAATTACGTGCATCGATTAAAATACGATATACACATTCTAAGTGATCTTTAAGTATATCATTTTCATTCGATGCATATATAGTTAAATAGTAGAATGCTTGTATCGGTAGACGAACACAATAGTAGCCGTTCGCCTGTGATCCGAATGGCTTTGAATCAGTCAGTTTACACTGATGTGAAGGTTTCATCTGCAGCAGAGCATAACTGTCACAATCGGCCATTTGATTGCCAGGTCGATCAAATGATTTCAACTGATGACACAGCTTGAAGAGAAGAGAAAAAAAGGTTTAAAAATAGGCGTTTCAGCTGAAATCTAACAAGCAAGTATTTTTAGTTTTATGCATGTAGTGTGAAACATCACATAGTGAGACTATCTGAGACTATGTTCACAATTGGCAGACTGTTACTGGATATAATATGTAGTGATCGTAGGTGAAATGGAAATCTAAGTGACGACAGGACTCGGACCACAATTTAGTGTGGTAACGTTGACAACTAGATGTTACAGTGAAATATGCTGAACTGGACGTCTATTTATAACACTGGTGAGGTTAACCACCCATTTCTGTGAATAAATTAATCATTATAGGCAAACTTCAAAAATTATCATTTCAAATGAATTGTAATGCTAGAGCGGAAATACAACAGTAGCCGGAGAGCACCTATAACAGAAATAACACGATTCTTGCAGCAATGACACACAAACCAACTGTATCACAAGTCGAGCTCTGACAATTCAGTGGTAGAACGCTTACCAACCGCGCACGCCACGCATGATGCAGGGTTCAATTCATAACCGACGGACACATTCTTAAACATTGCTTAGCCGATAGTAAGATTGGTATAGAGGGAAGTTAGGTGCCATGGTGAGGCTAGCAACGTCACCCTATAGAAAATGTAAGCAACGTTACTGCTGAAACTTCAAACCTCAAGCGTGAAGCCTTATGATCGATCCACTAGGGAATGTAAAGGAATAAGAAGTGCCATACGTTATTTTCACGTGTCATCTATTTTAAAATGTAACTGATGACAGCATTTCTGTCGACTACCACGCACCTAAAACATATTTCCGACTGCACCACCGAGGAGAGTTCATTTAACTCTATGAGAACAGATGTTACCGACCAATTCATAACGGTAATGTTCCCAGTGGAACATGGGGCCTCAACCTACAGACTTGAAATTTCAGTAGCAGTGGTGTTTATTTTTACGGGATGGGGCTGCTAGTCTCATACCCAACCTTCCATCTTTACCAGTCTTATTACTGACTTAGCGACGTAAAGGAGTGCGTCGGTGGCCAAGGACTGAACCCCGGACTACATTTTTATTTTATTTTTTGGTTATAGCTTGAAACCACACAGTATTTTTGGTACATGAGTGGTTGGCGAGCGTTCTACCGCTGTACCATCGACGTCTTTCTTGAGTATAATCGACAAAAACTAGAAACACTTCTTTTTTTTACTTCTCAGTCCTTTGTATTCCAAATGAGAGACAAGGCTTGGAAACTGCAATAAGGGGGGGGAGTTTTTTTCCAGAAGATACGGTTGTTAACCTCGTACCTAAACTTCCTTCTTCATAGGGCTTTCTACAGACTAGGAGAGGTTTAGGAGTGCGCCGGCTGGGAGACGAACTACTATTGAACAACCAAAACTTAGTTAGAAACACTATGAAGTAAAAAGAAAATCAAGGATATTGCATCCCACCTGAAACTTAATGTTCACACAGCATCAAACACAAATTATGTTCTGAATGTTATAAAAAAAAGCTCTACGGGGAACTAGTGCACAATGAAACACTGCATTGAATTTAGACATTGTTGAACAAAAGAAACAATAGGTAAATAAAGTTCAACTAAAATTCATACCTTTAAACCTGGAGCTATAGCGAAAGGAATCTTTAAAGGTCTCGGATCATTGTGTACAATATACGGTCGACCATCTGAAGCATCTCCCTCTGGCACCATTATTACACCGTGGACTTGCGAAGCAGGAGTACGACCAAGAAAACCAACCTCGGGTAAACGACCAGTTACAACTAGACGAGAGTAATTATACTCTGAGCAATGAATCTGCAAAAACAAATTGGGGAAGAAGAAAAAAAGGACGGTATTGACAAAAAGAAAAGAGGTGTTACCGCAAATTCAGAAGCTACATAGCCACATACACACACACGCGCAAATAAACCGAAGCCAAATTGTGCTTATTAGAAAATCCCACTTATTTATTAGAAGGACATAAATATCAGTATGAAACAAAACTAATCTTTGCACATTACAAAAAACAAAAAGGAATTTCCACACCAGTTAGAAGACGATATTAGATAATTACCTACTGCACAATTTTGTTAGCGAATTAAACAAAGAAAAACATTACGAAAAACACAGTTTTTGTTCAGCACACAAATATTTCTTTTCAAAGGCGGCTTCATTTTCAAACAGCTGCACAGCAGTCGTATTTATTTTACAGAAAAAGAAGGCATTAAGTAGCAGTGGAAATTGCTCAGTCAATATTGCATATATGTTAAGAATAAAGATAACTAAAATGATGTATTAAGGAGGCAGAGTTGAAGTGGATGAATTACATCACTTTTAAAGGTTATTAAATAAGAAACATCAAGAAAGAAACTGTCCCTAGCCAAATCACAGTGCCAACGAAGACACTTTGTGAGTACGACGTTCAAAGGTGACACTTTTGCTGAGGTAATTTAAAGTCGTTTATTTAAATGGTGTAATAAAACGCTCTTTTTATACGCAGCTGACTTACATTTATTATTTACCAGCCGAAATATGATTGGACAGTGCATCAAGGATAAACTACCGCTTATGTTCACTCCTGTTATCTGCACCGATATACACATGCATATGCTTGTGTGGAGCTGATTACATTGGACGTTGTAAGCCGATTCTCCGTGAAAACGTAGCTCATGATGAAATCCTGTAACCAATCAAATCCCTACAAACCAACACTTGAAAATCAATGAGATGTTCACTAGCGACTTGCCCTATTCAGGTGGGTAGTCACCTGGGGTTCTAGTGAGAAGTCGTGACCAGTAGGGTGCAGCAGGTCCAAAGTGAGGACAAATACTCGCCGAAGACATTGGCTAGGGGTCGCGCTATGTCGTGAATTGGCAGAAGTTAGAATTCATGGACCATTGGATCGGGCCCCAGTGGCTTAATGGTATACGAGCTCGCCTTGCAACCATAAAGTCCTGGGTCCAAATCCCGGTGGGTGCGTACTGATGAAGAGTCCCAAACTAGGACGAAACAGCTGTCTAGTACTCCCAGGTTTTCCAATGGTTCTCTAACTAATGTCAGCTCATGATGAAATCCTGTAACCAATCAAATTCCTACAAACCAACACTTGAATATCTTTATTCTTATCATATGTGCGATATTGACTGAGCAATTTCTAGTGCCATATAATGCCTTTTTTCCCGTAAGATGAATACAACTGCTGTTCAGCTGGTTGAAAATGAAGTCGCTGTAATAAAAAAATATTTCTTCACTGAACAAGAGCCATGTTTTCCTTTATAAATAAAAACAGTAACTGAAAGTGTTCAGAAAAGTAGTTAACAGGTTAAACCATTAAGTATGAAGTATGTTGTGAAACAAAACAAAACAAACACCACTTACGGCAATTGTTTTTTTTAAATCCACTGTTTTATACTGGCAGCCTACAGAACTTGTATACAAGAAATGAAATCATAACAATAGAGTGTGAAGTTACTTCGCACTGTTTACCAGCTACAGTTAAGTTACTATAGTGAAAAGTGATCTAACATCCAAAGTATTATTATTATTATTACCCCTTTGGGTTCCGGGTGGAACACAAAAGGTTTCAACAGCACATCTCCACTTTATCCACTTCCATGGGGGGTCCATTTTAACTGGCTCCTTAGGCTCTCATCGCTTCCACGTCACCGCCAGACGTATAAGTCGTTATCTCCTATTCGGGTCCCACTCGAGGGTTAGTCTGCCGAGCGTGTTTGTCACTCAACAACATTCCTCGTAGTATGTGTCCAATCCATCTCCATTTCCGTGAGCATATTTATTGGGCTATGTATGGCTTCTTGATTGGTTCGCTGCAGTGCAAAGTTTCTTGTTGCTAATCATTTCTAGCTGGCAATCTGATCTTCAGCAGGAAGTCAGCGAAGCGGGCAATTGTTGATAAAAGTCTAAAGCCTGTTCATATAGAAGAGCTAAGTGATCGACATTAGTGGTGAAAATCTGAATCTCTTGTTCTTTATGCTTATAGTACAGCAGATTTCAGAGTATTGAATGTCTGTTTTGCTTTTCTCCAATTCTGCTCTTGATATCCTCATCCGCACCGTCTGATAGTGATTGGGGCGTAGAAAATTTGCAGGGATTTCCCCCACCCACCCGGATGTAAATCTAATTCCTCATGGTCACAATGACAACAAGAATGGTAAATGCACTAATATTCCATAAATTCGTATCATTTCTGATTGATTTGGTTGCTCACTATTCATTCCTACCAGCAATATCTTTATACCGAATAGATCAGTGATAACGTGCCTGAGTGCATCCACTGCGTGACACAGACTCGAATCTCAGAACATATATGAGTCCCTTTAAGGTTACAGAGATGCCATGCTGTAATGAGTGCCAAAAAACACGAAATCTAGGTCCAAGGCTTCATGCCGATTGCCTGCAGTCAACAAGTAACAATTCAGAGTGCATCACGATGGCAAGCCATCTAACAACCTGTTGGTGGCCACATTGCAAACTTGACTGACAACAGAATTCAGTCCGCAGCAACACCAAGGACTAGACGCATGACACTAGCTACTGTCTAGTGATTAATCAAAGTATGGTTGTTTCAATCAGTCGGAATGATTTAACAGATGGAAAAAAACAAATATACAAAAATTCAGTGAAAATAATGCTTAGCTAACCTGAAATGAACACGCCAACTCTCTAACATCTTCACGTCGCCAATCAGGTGATACATAAACATTTAAATAGTATTTTCCGGGTTGTGAAGGTGCAGCTTGTATACGTACAACTTCTGGTGGCCTCAATAGGACTTCAACTAGGCATAAGCCTAAGAGAATACTGTGATCTGCACAATTCTCCAGACTGCATGATATACCAACGAATTTGGACATTTTTATTTTTATGCTAACCTAAAATGTAAACAGAAAAATTCTCAAATAAGGTGAATACAAAAATAATGAAATAAAGAAGATAAGAGGTTGTACCGTGCAAAGTAAATTTTTTTAAAAACATTTTTACCTCCACCTAGTAAAAACCTTAGCAAAGTGTTCATCAGTGAAAGTGCTGACAGACTGAATCAAAACCTCAGCTGCTGACTGACTGAGTTTCAACATAGAACTTTGCACAAAAGTGCAGCAGTTCAAGTTGTCATACTTCGTGTAGCACACAAGATCAGCAAAAGAGGATTCAAATCGACTATACTAAACAGAAAATTGAGGAAGGAAGAATATTAACGTGGAAAAAACAAAAACAGGGTGTTGTTGGATATGGGGGATCACAAAGACTGAATGCATCTTCACCACTGGGAAAGATTCCGAGTCAGGTCACAAACAGTCTCCAGTCATTGGTTATTAGCTTCGTAAGGACTCTAATCAGACAATGTAAGCCTATCTATGAGGCTGAAATTAATTGTCAAAGGTTTCATAGACTGGTTCCGAGTTTTGTCTTGACCACAACTAGCTCTTGTCCAACCTGATCCTATGTCAGTCAACATTAAGTGTCAAGATTCCGGAAAATAACTGCTACCTTGCTGCGATGGTTAAGTTTGCATGCCGCAGTGACCCAGCAAGCTACACTGACTGAGACTTAAGTTCCTGCATGTCTTCTCGTACCAAGAAAGTTGTTTGGATAGGAGTTAGACTAAAAGTAGTTGCTGTGGGGGACATGGGCTCCAGAAACCAAACGGATCGAATGGCGTACGAACCTGTATTGGCCACCGGTAACCATGGAGATGTAGCTCCTGACGCTGCTCCACTACCTTGCAGACTCCAAGTCAAAGGCTCAGGGTCTGTCCCTTAAGATAACCACCTGTTCCAGTCCGGGCATCCGCGCAGTATCCCGGTCCTCGCAGTAACAATGAAGCAACAAATAATGAAGAAAATTAATCACACGCTCATTCTCACGCCCTTTGAAGAAGAAGATGGCTAGGCATGTGTTATACGTGTCCTAGACACTTCAATCGATGTAGCTTCCCAGCCTCATGGATTAATTTTCCTTTCTTACCTAACACTCGTCGACTAACCTCAGTATTACTATATTATACCAGGAAACAATACCACGACAGAACTAATGAAAAAAGTATAACCCCATACTATAACTGATTCATGATTCAAGCAGTCACTTGCATAATAAGTGAGGAAAAAGAAAACTTTTAAGGACCAAAAGCAGATCAAAAAATAAGCCTTAAGTAACAATCAGATATTTTATGTTTAAAATAGGGGCCTGCATCTTCAAGGGTAATTTAAAAGGGTTTATTCCTTCTCACCAACTAATCTGAATATTTCAACCAATCTCAAGAAAAACACCTTCAACTCAACTGAAAGCAACCAATACCGAACTTATCAATGCTACTGAATGTACTGACGGTATCTTGAAGCACTCTCAGACACAAAAATACCTTCAAAATTTCCCCAAAAGTGTTTAACTAACTCAGATTTACTTAACGACACTACGTCACCTAAAGTCTTGAATTGAGTGATGGTAATTGAGGGCTCACTATCAACTGGCCATATAGAGGAAATTACCTGGGATTCTAGTGAGAAAATGGAACCAATGGGGTCCAAGAAGTCATGCAAGAGAACAGTTGCTTGCTTATGACGCCGACTGGTGGTTACGCTATATATATATATATATATATATATATATATATATATATTCATGAAATGGTATAAGTTAGAATTCATGGTGTGAGCCTTGGTTTTCTATAGAAAACCAACGCATTCTAATAGATATTTAGACTTTAATTCGTCTCATCCGTTAAATGTGTGAGCATTGGGTCGGGTATCAGTGGCTGACTGGTCTACGAGCTCGCCCTGTAACCAGAAGTCCACGGTCCCGAACTGGGAAGAAACAGCTGTCTAGTACTTTCAGCTGGCTTTCCAATGGTCCTCTAACCGAAATCAGCTCGTGATCAATCCTGTAACAAACCAAATCATCCCTGCAAACCAACAGTTGATAAAATTCTAATTCTCCATGACCACTACTAGTGAAAGCGTTTGTCGAAAATAAGAAACCAAAGTAAGATATTACATGATTGCAAAGCCAAGTAGAAATAATAGCAATAATGTGATAAGTTTATTGGAGAAGTAGAGTATGACAGCTTCGCCAGCAGTCACTTATTCGACATATAATATGACAGCCAATGATACCAGTGAATATACAAACCTTAATTGTTAGATGGAAATTCTCAACCAATGACGTATATGAGAAGCCGAATACTTAAAACAATGAAAAATTAACCAGTAACAGGTATCAGAGTCGAGCAACGGGACCTACAGCAGAGGGATGCCCCACATGCTTTATCAAGTCAATTGTATCACTATGAGAAGACTCCCAGGACTCGGTGTTTGCCTGATTATAAGGTTTAACTGCTCAGATACATTTATTTCTGCAAAACAAAGTCATTTCTGTGGACGAATTAAAGTTACGTTTCTTGAGTTATTAAATTATCGCAGCGCTTTCAGTGATGCCTAGCATTCCAAGTAAACACATAGGGCTACATCAGCACATCTCCACTTCACTCGAAAATCCAATATAATATTCAAACGGCTCTACGACAGAGCAAGAACAGTCGTTTTCTCCTCATATGACGCCCATCATCATGCCCTCCTATGACTCACACTAAATTCGTCACTCAACACTTCGGTTCTTGTCGAGGATTTAGGGTGCCCCCTCGATGTATGCATCTCCATTTCCTTCTGTCATTCACTGCATAAAAGGTCTCGGCCTGCTTAGTGGTTGCTCATTTTTCCAGCTAGCCATTTGACTTTCAGCGCCAAGCGAAGGTAGCAGCTGTTGATGGAGGTCTAAAGTAGCCTGTTGGAAATGCTTCTCGTGACGCTCAGTGAAATTTTCTCACACATATCGAAGAACTGACCGACCAACTTAGGATTTGTGCTGGAAAATTCCGAATTTTGTTGTTTACGCTGAAGTAGAGTGCAGAAGATTTCCAAACTGATTTCAAAATGATGAAGGTCAGTTTTGCCTTCCGATTCTGGCTTCGACATTCTCATCCTATTCTACCTGCCCGTAGGTGAAACGATGGGGCCTAGATAAGCGAAGGGAGTGCCCTCTTTCAAATTTCTCTCGTTGATTAGTGATTGGTGTTTGTAGTCATCGTTGTTGGTTGGTTATCTTCACCACCTCCATCTTCGCTATGTTCACCTGGAGTGTTATCCCCGCTGCCAATTTTTTGGTTCTCACCTGTAGGTCTTCAAGTTTGTGTGACATTAAACATAAACCATGCACACGCGAGATTCAGATTCTCTAAAGTCTTCTTATCGGTTCAGTGCATTCCAAACACTTATACTATGTGCTCACTACAATTTCATTTTACAAACGTTAACGACGATTTATTACGAAATCACTAAGCGAATGTTAAAAGATCAATTTAAAAAAGACAGAAAAATAAACAGAAGGACTACTGAACAACTTTAAGACGTACTTGTCCATTCTTGGTTATCAGGCAATCGGAATAATTTCGCTTCAAGGATAAATTAGCATTGAAAAATGGTGATTTCAGCAGAGGTAAATGGCAAAATCGATTGATACTCAACGGCTTCCGAAGTAGCTGCCATACTTTCAAGTCAGGTAGATTTTCAAATACATGCTGTTCTGGATCAGTCAGAAAGTAGAATTCATCGCAGTCGGGTGGTACATTTGACCGACTATCCAATACGTCTGTAAGCAAAGCAACGAGTGAAATGATGATACTCATAGATATATAATAAACTGAATTTAATGAGACAGAACAGGAAACACAACCACGCGGTTGGAAATAATAAAGGGATTTATGTAATCTTAGTAAAATCCACTGCTAATAAATATAGACTAATAGTATACATAAGATCAGCTGATATCCACTAGGTAACACCTTACCAATCTGATTTGGTTGTGTTCTTCTCTAAGGAGCTGGTTGCAGATTTAATTACGAAGCTTTTGTTGTCCACCATCTAGACAACATCTTCATAGCAGCTTTTACTATGAAATAAACTTCTTTGAATTCTCCATGAATCTTACTTTATTTTATTATAACTTGACTCAACACAGTATTTTTTATACAAGTATGGAATTTTCAGCATGTAATATCGGTAGGCCAAATTTAGCAGGCTGACCGTGGATATCAGGTGTGCATCGGCCGGGGATCGAACCCCGGACCATGTGCATGGTCGACGAAGCGTCCTAACTACTGTGCCGCCAACGCACATTCTCCATGGATGAGATATCTGTACCTCCAGACAACCACCGCTGTGACTGGTTGTTACCTTACATGTATCTCTCTTGATCATTTTTATTCACTTGGAGTTTCAACCTCCTTGTCATGTGATTAGTTTTTTGTTTTATTAATTGGTAGTTTTGGTCTATAATAAGTAGTGCGTTTGTTAATCGATGGCTGATTCATTTGAGTATCAGGCTTCTAGAAATTCCCTGGATGCATTTTCAGTATTTCCTCTGTTTAAAATTCATTTTTTCATTCAAAAAGAATAAATACCCATACGATTTCATCAAAAAGTTTAAACTCAAGTCATATTACCAACAAAAAATCGTCATTGAAGATGACAAGAAAGTTCACTCTCTCATTTATTAAAGAATATCTCTGAAATAACGGCTAGAATACTGAGACCATTTGAAATAAACATAACACACACACAGACCAAAACAATCACTTCATTCGATAATGCGCAAACCAAAAGATCCACCAGAAAAAGAAGATCAGTAACATTTACAAAATAAATTGCATGCATGAACTGCGATAAACATCTCATCTATCGGTCAAAATGGGTGTCCCCTTCGTGTCCGGATCCAGGAAGATAAATAATCATCTGTGAATAGGCACCGGTTATGTATGCCTGTTTCATATCGATGCATGTAGATAATTACGGACAGGAATTAAGTGATTTGGATAATGTAGAAATTTTAAACAGAGGAAACACCGGAAGAAATGCAATCAGGGGATTCTTAAAAGTCTGGTATTCAAATGAATCAGATAGTGAGAGAGAATTCAAATAATTTCATTCCATAATAAAAGCTGCTCTGAAGATGTTGTCTGGCTGTCCCCACTACCTTACTATTCTCTCATAAAAATAAGGGATTGAAAAGGAACTTTTATGCTCTGAGAGCATTATTAATTAGGAGAGCGAGAGTGATTATATTGGAGCGATACACCGCACCAAATTTAGAGAAAAATAATTTTCCTGAAGAAATTACTAAGCATAGTCAGACAGCATGAGTTTCACTCAACAAAATCTAACAAGCAAAGTTAACTAAAGACATTAGGGGAGTCGAGTAACTGCCGAAACCACCATGCTACTGAAAAAAACCTCCATTAATATATTGCGTATAGTTTCCCTTATTCAATTTGTTTAAATCTAGTAAAATATGACCGACCTATAAAAGCATTTTTATTTTGGCGAGTATTTAAAACATTTACAACATGCTGATTAGCGAGTTTCTGCTAAACATGATAAAAAGCATTATCCAACTCGATGACAGCTTCCTCCAACACATGAGATAACTGGTTCTCAGTGGTGTCCATCGTTCACAAAATGCACTCCTGGACTTTTTACAATTGCCATTCAACAAAATGTTATCGTCTATTTCTCGAAGGAGGAAACAGAAGCGAAAAATCAGGGGAGATATTCGTTATCACAGCCGACATTCCCTACTCAAAAAAAAACAAAAAGTGACTTACTTTCTGTTAGGTAACGAGCACCCCAGTTACAATTTACAAAACGCCAACCATCACAAATGTAAACTGCTAGCCAAGTATTACGAAAAAGATGATTTTCTCTAATCGACATTCCCGGACGATAACCAGCACCCTTGGAATATCCAGTTATATACTGACAATGTAATCCAACATACCTAAATTTTACAAAGATAAGTGGAAGTGTAATGAGTAAAAGACTATTTTATATGATACTGTATTGTAACAGCTCCATTGAAAATCATTAACAGGTGTGACGAATTAATTATATGTGAAGAAATCATAGAGATGTTACTTTATCTGAACTGGACACAAATCACTAACAAAGAAAGGAAACACGTGGATGAATATAGAGAGCAAATATAACACATATACTCAGGATGATCAATTAGTTAAAATGAGAAACCATTGAATTTAGTTGGCAATGTACATGATTTTGAGTCTTTTCAATTAAAATTCTTCTCAGCAACAACCTCTGCTTTAAATCTAACTGACTGCAGCAATTCGAGTTGCCACTCTCTCTCTCTCTTTAAGTAGCATACAAAGCAAGAGAAGATAGGAAAGAGAAAGATTCAAAAGAGACAGAGAGATAATAAACTGAAGTGTAAGTGAGGGAAAAAGAATAGTAACATGGGAGAGGAATAGAGTTTTATTAGATGTGACAAACCACGAAGATTGATCTGCACGACGAGCCATATCGCCAATAGTCTCCAGCCTTCATTCATTCTCACTATCATCCAGAGGACCCCCAACCAGCAAGTCACGAAGTCTACACCCCCCTACATGGTGGCTGGCCGGCTAGCTTACACTAACTGTTATTATCCCTTTGACTGATTGATGAAGCCATGTTTCCGTTTGACCATGTTATAACCGGACTGAACTGAATAAATCCTTTGCTACTTTGTTATGTCTGCGTCTGCTAATTGCTATAACGGTAATGAACTCGACTGGTATGCTAATACGTCTATTTGCCCGTTGTACCTTCCGATTCACTGAGCCACGCAAATATCAAAAGACAAAGGCTGGTCTGTGGCTGTAAGATTTGTATTATATTGAACAATTTAAGAAACAACACATGATATTTATACATTTTCTTTACCATAACAAATTCGGCTCAGCCATGAGAATGGATTGTTCTTATTGGCTGGCAATGGCTATTCTCATTGGTTGGAGATCCGACAAAGACCACACCAAAGTGAGACAAAAGACGATGAATTGATCACACACTAAATCACAATATGCGTGAGAAATTATACATTCACATAGTAACTCCATCACAAGATAAATCACACGATTCGTGATGACATACTACTTTATGCTAGGTCCTATCCGACCATCACATGCTAGCTCTTTCCCAACTTGATCGCAGGTCAGTTAAGATTGGCCATTAGTTGAGGAAGACAGCGGCTAGGCAGGGATGCGTAACACATGTCCTAACCATGTCACTCAATCGATGTAACAGCTTCACAACCTGGTCAATAAATTTATTTTCCCTCCTCCATTGGCGGTTAGAACGCTTGCCAACCACGCACATGGTCCGGGGTTCGATCCCCGGCCGACGCACTCCTTCACTTCGTTAAGCCAGAAATAATGCTGGTAAAGAGGAAAGGTTGGGCATGAGGCTAGCAATCCCATCCTGTAAAAAATAAACACTGCTACAGAAACTTCAAGCCACTAGCTTGAGGCCCTATGTTCCACTGGGAACGTGAAGAAACCACATTACCTAGCACTCGACTGATGCCTCATCAACTCAATATTACTCACCAAACTCTGTAAACCCACTTACTACTTCACAAAGATTTTTCATTTAATAGACCATATACCGAACTTATTTTGTGAGGGCTAATGATACCACAAAGTCGTCATACTAAAGTAGGCGAGGTGAGATTCGAACACAGGACTCGCCAAATGAAATCCGAGTACTAAAGCGACAATGAGCCGAAGATTCATTCACTTATAAACTAAACAATCACACACTAATCACAGTGCACTTTTAGTGCAAAATGCACAAGCAATTGATGGGCACGATGGAATAAATAATATCATACTTTAGTTTGCGTCAAGTCAAAAATCTTTTCTTCCTTAATCATCACAGGAGAAGTCATCGCGAATATATTCATTTAGAAACTAATCACCAGAGACAGGCAGTTGAAAGCTTTAGATGGGAATTCGACTGGATTACAGATACACCACTATCTCCAACTAAAGACAAGGCTGTAAAAGCTGTCTCGAATCTCTAAGCTAAAGTAAAGTAACAGGATCTGATAGGTATGAATCGAAATGTGTTTAAAGCTGGTGGTGATGAATTATTGATTGGCTTCTCCAGGGTGCAGTCGGTCGGTTTTTTCAGTTTATGAGAAAAGAGACAAATCTTTTAGGGAAGATTGCAAAGAAATCAGCTTAACTGATACAGTATCGAAATCCTACGACGTTGCATTGTCCTGCGATGCTAAAAAGATACAAATCTGAGAAAGCCAGGTGTGCATCGAGCTCAGATGAAAGGGGAAAGGACGAATCTTCACATTTACACAGGTTTCGGAGCATAGTCTTATTTACTGGTGTCTGATAAGTGTCATATTTCCCTACCTGAAGGTCGCACTCAACACTGTTGATCTAATGGCGCAGTGGCAATGCGTAGGAGTGCTGAGGTGTATTATTTCAACCAATTTGTTCTGTTTGCAATCATTCAGTTGTCATCTGAAATGAATACAACTACTGGTGTGCGTCAGAGATGCATACTGTCGCCAATTTCATTTATTCACATGATAAATAAATGGACTAAAAGAGGTGCTGCTGGTTGACTTCGACATGTTAAGAAATGACTTGCTATCCATCAGTGGAAAGCATAGTTAAAGCAATGATGATTTACTCAAGTCAAATGTGTAGGATGATGGTTTATTTAGGATTGATCTGAGCCCCCACCCCTTCCCAATACTAGTTTAACGATACACATTGATGATGAAATGGTTGGATGAATTCATCACTTCAGATATTTAGTAAGTTCTATCAACCATATAATTAACTGCTCACATAGACACACAAAAGACTGGCTCAGTATCCATTCATCAACTTATGTCATTTTTGTTTCAGGCACGATTTCTAATCATCCAATAAAAAGACCATGTATGTGCCGTGTAGTATTTTACTCCGTTTTACCTTTGAAGACTGTGGAACATGACTGTTGAAGGTGGAATATCTGAAAACATTTACGGGTCTTTTTTCCTATAAGTGTCTGTGCTCAGTTTCTCGCGTTAGGTAGCTTAGAATGTTAAGTAATAATGACGTCAGGTTTACGGTGCTAGACGAAGAGGGGAAGTTAGACGATTGAGATGGCTGGGATATTAGACACACTTGCTGACCAATGCTTTTCTCGACAAACGATGTTATCAGATGTTATAAGATTAGGTTGTAAAGGAGTTAAAGATAGTGAGATCAAATCATTACATCGCTCCATGAAATCTGTCACACCTGGTTTGAACCATTTCGAGAAGTGTGGACTACCTGTCTGAGGTTCTCGAGATTTTATTATTATTGTTCCCTTGGGTGCGGAGCGGAAAATACGGCTTCAACAACACATCTTCACTCTGTTCTATTTTCTTTTCTCTTCCTCAGCTGGGTTCATGATTACATATAATCTCATATCTCCGTCTCGCACGATCTAAACCGTGTCACCCTGAGAACCCACTCGTTGTTCGCCATTCGAGTTTCACTCAAGCGATGGTCTGCATTCAGTGCGATATCATTCGCTGATCTCAGTGTCTACCTTATCCATCTCCATACTCTTCGGAATATCTGTTAAGTAATCGGCTCTTGGCTATTTTGTTGCCAGAGTTTCTTGTTGCTAATTCTTTCTACTGACCACCTGATCTGCAATATGAAGCCAGTAGAGTTAGCTGTTGGTAAAAGTCTGTGGTAGCCTGTCGGAAATGCTTTTCGTGACACTTAGTGAAAGTTTTTCACCCATATAGAGGAACTGACTGACTGACTCAACATTGGTGTTGAAAATCCGAATCTTGTTCTTTATGCAGCAGAGGAGGAGTGGGAAGATTACCAAACTGATATCAGGGTGATGAAGGTCTGCCTTGTCTTTCCGATTCTGGCGGGTTTTGACATTTTCATTCGTTCCGACTGCCTGTGGTTGTAACGATGCTTCCTCGAGATACTAGCAATCAATAATTGGAGACCGATGTTGATGACATGGCTGAATGACGCAACCGTATTCAGTCTCTTTGATATCTAGATTCTCATTCTATTACACCGATCACGTAAAACAAAAAGAATTTAGACATAGATATTAACCACCTGTAAAATCAAATGAAAACATTATTTCAAAGATAGAAAAAAAAAACTATAAATAGATATACAAGTAGACAATGAAAAACTGCTCTCTAGGTTGTGTATAGAAAATGCAAAAAAGAAAAATCTAAAATGACCTTAAAAATAAAGAAAGTAGGTGAACATTTTAACCCTACGAAAAACTATCATTAAGTAGAGAGAGAGAGCAAAATCAATCAATCAAAAAATCACAAATTCCTGTATTCATTATGATAATAATTATTATTATTATGAATAGTGAATATTGATACTTAATACTGTGGATTGTATTCAACCATTTGGAGGGAAAAAAACAATAATAGTGATGAAAGATAGTCAACAAATTATCATCACACTGAAGTAACACAATCGAGAATCTGTTGTATGAGTTGTATTGTGCTTTGACACTCTCTTCAATAGACTTTTTAGACATTACTAACATGAATATTATTGGCAAGTGACTGAATGCATTTCAACATAGAACTTTACATTGAAGTGCAGCAGTGTTCAACTTGCCATATAGCACACTAAGATAGACAAGAGAGACAGAGAGAGAGAAAAGACATTCGGGGGAACTATAAGAAGCCGAAATGTGAAGGCAAAAGAATAGTATCGTGGAAAAAAAACATGACAGTCTGTTGGAAGAATACATGCATCTGAGCCATTGACAATAGTTTTGAGCCATATCACTGACAGTCTGCAGTCATACAGTTTAAGCCTCCCTATTATTCCAAATTTTGGTAGACTGGATTATACGAAACACCATGGAAGGGGAACGAGAAGACAGAAATACGTCAGACCAATGAGAAGACTCTAGAAGATCTGGATCTCGCGTGCGCATGAT